TTGATTTTCTTTAATCGGGAGTCTTAATTAATATCTAATAATTATAAGAGGATTTAAAACATTTTGAAGACACTCAAATATTGATGGTATTTCTTGAAGTGTTGGAAGAAAATAACAATATTTTACCTTATTGAACTATCGATGCTCATAACTCTTCAAGTCATGAGAGAACTGAACAAATATTTGTCGTCCATATTACGATGGATAGAAAAAACTCTCTACAGAATCCATGACAGATACTTTGTTGTTTGTGTCATATAAAAGGCACTCTAAGTCATGAAAAAACATTTAGTTGTGTGTCCTTTGAACGTACGGAAATTTCTTATGTTATTATTACCTCCATCAAATTTCGAGAAGTTTCTCTCAGGTTTTGTGAAGAAGCAAAAAAAAAATCTCGTAAATAGAGCTCAGAAGGGAAAAAAATTGTCACGGATGGCTCTTAGGCTTATTGAGAAGTGAGAAAGCTCTCGAACGAACGAAGAAGATAAGGGACAAATCGTTTTAAATAATTCATGGGAAAAGCAACAAGTTGTAGAACTTTTTTCCCCTTTCTTTTCTATCACGTAGCATTTTCGTGCCAAAATTACCTTCAAAAAGAAACTTGCTTAGAATTTGATAAAGAAAAAACCTCAAACAGTTGTCTGACATCAAACAATCTCTCGATTCATTCAATTAAGGTATCCAACTAGAAAAAAAAGAAAATGAACATTTTGGCGTGGGAGTTAAATTAGAAAACTTTGATTGAGAAAAAAGAAATTCAATCTCTAGAAGAATTTTGCTTTTTAAATATTTTAGGCAGTGCATGTATCTTGAACATTTCATGTTGAAAGAGAAAAACTGATTTTCACAACAAAAAGAACTTTTCATTTGTTTTCATGCTTTACCTTTTTGTTAGATTTGCAAGATAGCGAAAACTTCGCAAATCCTAAAAGAATTTTTTTGCATATCTACAAAGAAGAGAAAGTTAGGTACGTCTTGGTATTTATTCCAAATTCAGAAGTTTATTCTACGCTTCAAGAATTTCGGGTGTAAATTTAAAATTTTAAAGTTTTAAAACACATTTTAATGAACAAAAGTAAAAAGTTCAAAATTTCAATTAAAATTTACTTGTTTTGTTTAAAACTTAGAAATTTAATTTAAAATTTTTAAGTTTTAAGAAGTGGTCAGAAAATATTTGTCATTTGCATTGAGAGTGATAAACATTCCATAAATGCTAACATCAAATTTCTTCTCAATATCTTCATCTTCTTCTTGATTTTTGATCCGTGCGAACCAAACGACACGAGATCTATTAAGAGATTATTTTACTTAATGGAAGTATAAAAGTTACTTAATTATCTTCTAATATTACAGATTACGTAGATATATATCTAATTGTTGGTTCATAAGTATTTTCAGAGAAATATTACCCAATTGGTGACACATTAATGAAAGTTACTTCATTATTATAATGAATTTTTCATAAAGAAGTTTCATTACTTTAATTGGACTTTTGCTTGATGAAGAATTTGAAACTGAAACCTTTCTCTAGGTAGGAAATAGAAATATTCTTTCTTTACCTTAAAATCCACAATCATTTGAATGCTTCTCTGACCTTCATAAATATCGACATAAAACTTTTCGCATTTAAAAAACAAAAGTTTTACCGCACGAAATTCCAACTGGGCATTGCTGTGGGGGGAAATTACCAAGTGGCTGAGTGTGTAATACAATATATCTCGCACTGAAAGCATTAATCGCTAGGGAAAGTTGTTTCATTGTGAACATTTCTGCGTTGGAAAATAGCTTTTCCAAATTTACATGCGACGAACATATAATTTTATTAAAGGTTTCTTTATTTCGTTTCTTGACTTTGAAAGAAAACTTTAAACAAAACTTGACTGTTTCAAAAGCGCTCCATAAATTTTTAAAATGCAATAAGCATTCAAAGTTCGTTTCCATTGCAACTGATGAAGTTTGCATTAAAAATTTTCTTTTATTTTCCAATCAATTTAATAACAAAACGTATAATTTATTGTTTTAAATAATTTTGTTTCCAATCATGATCTTTTATAACGAAAAAATTTTCTCTTTTGTTGATATAAAAATTCTGCTGATGATGAACATTGAGATGTCGGAAGGTTAATGCACATAAATGCTTTGAGAAGAGATGGTGTGATGAATGCGGAGATTCCTTTCAACATCTCGTCTGAAAAGATTATCATTACTGGTATTTATCTACTCAAAGAAGTGAATAATGGAAGATACGACGGGGATGAAAACTTACGTTTTAGAAGGATGATTAATAAAAAAGCTAATAAATGGTGCTCGTTTTGCACTCAGTTATGCTCTCTTTAACGATAAAAAACAAACTGCTTCAGGCGATGGTTCAAGTTTCATAAGAAAACATTGAACATGAAACCAAAAAAATGAAAAGATAAAGGAAAGGAAGTGAAAAAAAGATATAACGAAAGCATAAGGGTTCGGGGGAAATTGAATTAAATGTTCTGCTACATCTGCCTTGAAAAATATTTCTCTAGGCTCAATTTTCCATAACTGAATCCGTTTAACGCCTATCAATATTTAATGAATTTTATTTTAAATATGTACGTGTATTAATGACGATTTACTTTCATGTATGAACAATCAATTATTTATTTAATGAAATCATAGAAAGAAGCGTCAAGTGAATATAAAAATATTTACAACATTGACATGAGAGAGAGAAAGCTTAAATATTCATGTAGAAAGGAAGTAAAAAAAGCAGCGAGCAATGAATAGCTGTTTAATTTAATAAAAGATTCCATTACAGTTAATTGGATCTACATCTACACTGAAACATTACCAAATAATGTTGAGACTAATGTTTTATACGAAAGATATGATGTTATGAAAAAGCCATAAAAATGAACTACAAAAGACGACGATGTTATAATTTAGGTTGAATCAAATGTTACGTGTTGTTAACATGGAATTAATGTGGGTGGATGAAAAGCACTTGTTATACATAATTTATGAGATGAGTAAAACTAATTCAATATCTTTTCTTCCTTACTTTCTTCTTGTTTAAAAACAAATTCATGTAAAATAGGAAAATTTGATGATGCAAATATTTTTAACATGCATCAAGTGGACGTAATTAAATTACTACTCGACAGAATCTTGCGAATATGAAATAAACAACAATTCAATTTTCTTTTCTTGGAAACTTTTATCATCAAAATTTAATTATTAAATTTACTTGAAAACAATTAAATTATGTAAAACTAAGAACCAAAAAATTAATTTAATTCTTCAACCGATGACAAAAAAAGTTTATCGAATTTATTTTGCAAAGCTTTCCTTCACGTTTGATGATTTATTTGTTAGCATACCAAGAGTAATTTTAGAATATCAATTAGATGTATCGATATCACGTTCATACTAATTAATTTTTCTTAATTATACATAAGAATTCTTGGTATATTCCACAAACAACATGTAAGGTTTCTTGATGATACTTATGCTGCACCAAGTCTTACATTTTACCTTCTTATAAGTTATAAGATTCGTCAGCGGCCATTATCAAGAATATTTTTGAGATTCTTTGCCTTTATAAATATCAACATAAAAGAAAGCTCTAATTTAGAAATGAAGGGAAAGATGACAATAATGATTGATAAATGCGCCTTTCATGTCGTTCCAATCAATCATCAAATTTAATATTCACTAATTGCATAAAATCAATTATTTATCTATGTAGATAAATATGAGTGTCGTTAAATTAATAAAGAGAAAGATAAAACAATATCGTCGGGATGCCTGAAGAAAAATTTATTAAAATTAATTTTCCCTTGATATTATATTAATTATTAACATAAAACATGTCGCACACGATACCTGTCAAAGCAAGCTCTTCCCAAAGAGAAAAAAATATGTAAAATATATTTAAAATCCATTAAAAGGTGAAGAAAGCGTGACAAAACGAATTGAAAGTTTTTTTTTTTCAATATCACAATTCTCATCCGAGCGTGAATTTCAATTAAAGTCATAATTTTTCTACAGAAAAGTTAAATAAAAAAGAGCCAGGGTTGACCTTTTTTTGTGACTGAAGAGTGCGAGGACATTGCTGGGGGCTGAGAAAGATATGGAACGGAAGGTCCCAAGGCACCTCTCAGTTCTTCGTCATTTAAAATTGTCATGAAATATTAACAACTCATGCGTAAACTTTTTTTTTTCTTCACTCTCATTCAGAATGTCATCGCGGTTGTCAATGTTGATGATGGTGTTGTGAAGTATTTTAACTTTCCTCAAGCGTTTTACAATAATAAATCAAAAAATATATTAGATGTAGGTTCTTTGACATAAATTTTCCTTCCTAATTCCCTTCAATTAATCAAAGAGCGGTATTCATTGTAAATAATGATAAGTCTTCGATTTATTAGTTGGAAAAAGTTTATTGTAAGATTCAAAGACTTAAAAGTCGTAGATATACAACAAGTAGAATGATATAAATTATAATATTAACTTAAACGACTTAAAATTAAAGTCATTAAGATCAAAGATTTCTGAAATGAAATTTAATTTTCCATTAAATCTCTTAAGTATGAAAAAGTTGATGAATGAGTTGAAAAGTTTATTTAAGAATGAAATTAAATGATTCGATTCAAATGAAGTCTGTCGATTGAACGACAGGATGAATTAGAAAACTAACTTCGATAGTGCTTTTGATAATTCTCTTTCATTTAGAATTACCACTTGTTGTACATGTTATTGAAAATGATTAAATCTTTAAGTCCATTGACGATGAGAAGCATGAAAGTTTTAAGACTTTCTTAAAAGAAAGTTTTAGAGTGAGTAAAGGCAACTTCAACGATAATTTTCAGTTTCTCCAACTTTCACATCCAACTAGATTCAATAGCTGTTATTTTAAAGAATAACATGAAAATAATTCTTAAGTAAAACCGAGTAAAACCTCTAGCATTCAGACAATGAAAGCAATTTAGATGTTCTCTCTGTTACGTTAGAAACGATTTTCCCTTCAAAGTACTCTCGAGATTTCTGTTGATTTTTCTCTTAAAATAGCACAAAATCGATGCTGAAAATAAGCTGAAGGAAAAAAAGAGAACGTCAAAATAAAAAAGTAACAACAGAACGTTTTTAAGATTTTGTATTTCTCTTTAGCTTTCTGCAATTATCTTCTTAGACATTAGAGAAATGTAAGAGCAAGTATTGCAATGTCAATGAAATTGTTCAGAAATGAAAATATTTTTTCATCTTGTAGTCGTTCCCATAACATTCCACAAATCTTTTATCGTGTAACCGTCTCGAAGTTTTTCCATTGCAAACCCCAATTCTTTACAGTAGAATGGTTCACGATGTTCTTCTCTATCTTCTTCACTTAGATATGCGGTAAATTTACTGTTAATTTCACTCGAAGCTTCGTTGTCGATTTCTGAAATGTCATCAATTCTCAGCATATCTTCAGTTTTATTCTGTAATATTGGAGCGAATATGTTAGTTGTGTTAATGGAAGCAGAAGTAACATTTCATAATGCAATCATGCATGACAGTTACCAATGCTTTTATGTCATAGTTAACTCCGAAAATTGGAGTTTCACTATAAACAGAATGAAGTGAAATGAGTTCTTTATGAACTTCATGCAGTTTTTCTTGCGGATCAACACGGAATCCCAACACGTAATTTCCAGCATTTGGACCTGTTTGAATGACCAAAGCCAGACCATATTTTGATTCGCGTATACGCAGACTGATCATTTGCATGTATGGCAATGAAATGTTGAAACTTTCATTCGCCTCTGCATACCAAACCAATCGAATATTTGTGATGATAAATGTTCCCAAATTGCCCTGATCACTCGACAAATTATACACGCCATTCAAAATTGTATAAACTTGTTCCTGACGTAAAATGTTCAAATGTCCCTCTGTCAAAATTGCACCCCGAAGCTTTAATTCACGGTAAAGTGTTGTCGATTGATATATTTTGTAGATCTCAAACAGTGAACCGAAGTGTTTTTGATTCGCACCATAATCCGTGAATATGAACTCAAATCGCTGTTTTGGAGTTGACGTGAGAATGTAAAGAGCGTCTAAAATGAGATAATTAGAAATTAAATTCTAAGAAATTTGAAGTTTGATACTTTAATATAAATTTCCAAGAAGTTTTCTGCTAGCGGCAATTTTAAATTAGGAGATTTAAACAGCAAAACAAAATGTAATTAACCTTGTAATATCCTTTTTTAAAAGCAAAATTGAATTGTTTCCAAGTCTATAATTGATTCTAAAACTAGACAGCGACTTCATCCTTACATTGCCTCAATATAATTGCAAATGAAATCTCATTTAAAATTCATTATTCCTGTGCTTTAAACAAAGAAAATTCGGAAGACTTTTAAAAGCTTTTTCATTTCCCATATCAATTTAGTTTCAAATTAATTTTCAAAGAAAACATTTTTATTAATAGATAAGCTCCAAAATTTTTGACGGAAAAGAATTTATTCTACTTTAATTATCTTGAATACTTTACCTGTGCTACCACGAAGAGTCGAAATAACATTTTTTGTATTCATTGTAACAATTGTGAAGAATCCGATTGCTGAAGGTATACAAAAAAAGGATTATTTATAATGATGCTCGACAAATGTTTTCACTGACAGCTGCCACTTGAGAGCTACTTTTCTTGTCCTTTTTTTACTTACACAGCGTAAATTTTGTATTAGTCAACGAAAACCATATGAGTCTTATGTTTGTGATAACAAGTTGTCCTAAATCGCCAGAGTTTCCTTTTGTATCCTCGACCGAGTCAATTATCTCCAAGATATTTTCACCATTTCGAAGTTTTTTGTGGCTAAATTTATGACACGATTTTTATTTAATCTCTGAATTAATTTTATATAAAACTCACATGTTTGGTATATCAAACTTGATTTCTCTGTCTTCCCACACTCGATTCGCCATTAAACTATATTAAATTTTCCTAAAATAATGACTTCTAAATATATTTTTTCCTGTTCTGTCCTTTCAGACATTTTTTCCTTTCCTTCCTGATGTTTATGCCATCGCTTGTTGCCGAGCAACCGCTCTCTAATCCAAGCGCTCTCTAACCCAAATAAATTCTATAAAAAGGATGGAAGAATTTTTTTATGTAGGAAAAATGTTTATGAAATTAAATTCATAACTATATGAAGTGATCACTTGCTTCCCATATTTACAACTTTTACAACGACGTGATTTGTTTTACTTTATTTGTACGAAGGAACAAAATTGAGAAGGAAATTGAAATATTTAGAAAAACATGTCAAGACCGGAATGTGTCAGGAAGTGAAATATTTTTAGTAAAGATGTTAAACATCTTATCAAAATATGTAACGAATGAAAAAATGCAAAAAGTAAATAAACATTTTGGATCAAGAATTAAATCTATTTAAATTGTAGATGTAAAGGCAGCTAATATTTCAATCAATATCTAATTAAAAGGTTCAAAGCAAATTTAATAAATGAAGAGAAACTTTTGAAAAGCTCATGAAAATTAAATACTCTTAATTAATTAATAGATTGAAAATGTTATGAATACGATCTGATTGTGAATTCCTTTAATCATTTCAACTCGAAATCTTTCAAACAAAAAAAATATTTCCCAATTGTTTTGCTTTCTGAAAAGCTTTTCAAGATTTTTTTTTGAAGAGTCATTGAAGCGTTTTCCTCCGGAGTCTTTTAATATTCATTATAATTTAAGTGAGTTTGAATCAAAACATTTAAAAATAGAAAATTTATGTTTGTTTCCAATTTGGAATAAATAAAATCCAGTTTTAAATTGATTTAAAGCAAATTCTGCTGAACTAGAAATTTCCACATAAATTTTCTGTAACATCGCCCAGGAAAAAGAAAGAAAAAAAGCTTTTGGTATTGATATCACGTTTTTCACATTTCAAAGTCGTTAAGATAAGATTTTTTGGTTACAGTTTGTAATAAATTCGTGCAGTAGTGTAACGCTCTTTACTTTATTTTTGCTGATGATTCAAAAATTTCAAAATGTTTGCACCTGGCGTTGTATTCGAAAGATATCAGCAGAGGGAAGATGATCCAAATTTTCACTCGATTCAGCGGAATTTCCAAAAATTCTTGTGTATGTACATAAGCTTATTTATCCTCAAATCAGCAGCACAACATGCTGTTGTCCTCAACATAAAAAAACCATCACAAAGCACTAAATTTAAAGCTTTCAAGATAAATGTGAAATAAATAAACACAACGAAAGTTCTCACGGAACATTTTTGTTGATTTAAAATTTTTCCAATAATTAAGAAAGCGACTTTAAAAATGAAAAAAGAATGAACAAGCGAAAAGTCAAATATTTAAAAGGAAACAACACGAACAAAGGTGCTAACTACAAAAAAGATTGCGTGGCGAGATTATGTCGAAGCATTGAATGTTCAGACCGTAAGATTTTCGGAAATTACCCGAGGCGAAGTTTTAACAGGATGTTGATTGTTTTTTGTTCTCCCTCGTCTCAAATTTTCATCACAAAACTTTGCAATTGAGAAGAGAAGAAAAAAAAACTTTGAAGAACACGAAATCACTTTTTCGCTGACGATGCCATTAATTTGTTTAATTTTTAAGGAGGAGTTGAATATCTGAATAAACAACGTGAAGAAAAGTAAGATGATATTGAGAGTGGTTTTAAAAACATTTAAAAATGATGATTAAAAATCAAAATCAGAAACATTTTCATTTCTCATCTAAGGAATAAGAAAAACATTTTTAAAGCATACTCGATAACATCTGATTACATTATAAACCCAAATTCTCTGAAGAAAGGATGTGCTTTGTGACATGTTTTTCAACAACATAGATCGACATGCATCAACATTAAGAGACGTTACAATAATCACTTCATCATGCCAATAAATCATTTATTGAGTTAAATCCTTTCAACATTATTTGCTTCTGCTTTTACCTACATGAAAGTGAAGTACAACGATTCGATTTTCATTGTCAGTGATATTCATTATGTTTTCAAAGCTTTTGATCAGGAGTTTGACTTTTTTGGCACAATCCGCTTGCTTTCGCATTAGCGACTAATACTGATACTTGTCTAGGATGTACAAAGCTTAACATCAGCAGAATTCCATGTCACAAATCAGATTGGAATCATCATAACATGAATAATTTATTTGATTTGTCGATTCATTCAAATGCCTGCATTGAAAGTTGTTCGTTTGAAATCGCATTTTCACAACTGTGCAACTCAACAATGAATGAAAAATGAAGGCATGAATAATTGGAGAGAGAATTTTGTCGTTAATTAATTACCAAGGACTACATTAGAATCATTCTTCTGGAAATGAGATAAATTCAGGTTTTCTGGGTTCGTCCGTCGATGTTGAAACTTTAGAATTCACTCACAAAGATCAATAAGAAAAATTGGCTCTGCAAACATTCAATTTATTCAGTTTGATAAGAATGGTAACAGTTTGAACATAAAATACATGATGTTGAACTTCACTGTTAGCTTTTGAGCTAAAGCTATTTGTAATACATCCACGAATTTCACATATCAAGTTTAATTCACACATTTATAAAAAATCTCTTAAGGAAAAATGTTCAAACTGCTGACACGTGCACTCAATAACTAAATTGATTGAAAGAACTTTGACTTTTAAAGTGATTATAATGATTTTGAACTCCAAGAACTTTCTAAATTATTAAATGAAATATGCGTGGGTGTCATAATCCCTCTAGAAAATCGATCATTGCAGATCAGATAAATCATCAAAACAAATGTTTTTCTTCTTCATTCCTCTCTCTGATAAATTTAACGCTTCGCAAGTCTGCTTAGCATAAGTAAATCACAATGAAAATATTATTAGATAACATTAAGACTGAAGCGATATCAAATTTCAGAAAAGTCAGAAAGAAAAGCAAAAAAAATATGTTTTTAAAGACTTAATGGACGAATGCCAAAAATTTTAAGAAATTATGTGAGCTTTTTATACCCTCGCATCCAAGTCTGGTTCTCTCCATTTCAAATGCATCCAAATTGAAATTTCATTATTCAAATGACTCGAACTGGAACCTGCTTTTAGTTGTTTACTAATCTTATTTCCTGCTTGCTAGAGCAGATGTGTGACAAGGTATTTGAAATTCTAATATGAGGGTAGAAAGGAAAACATTAAAGGGTTGAACTGCTTAACTAAACTATCTCTCATTTGTCTCTTACTCTATACGAATTTTTTTCCATCTATTTGAATGTTTTATAAGAATAATTTTAGTGACTAAAGAGAATGAAATTTCGATTATACATTCCACCAACTCTCAAATGAAACTTCTACATAATAAAAAGTTTTCTTCCCACCATTTTTCTGACAATTTCATTTCTCTCAAGCATTACCATTAGCAACAATTTTCTCTGCAGTCATGATTGCTGATTTGGTTACGGATTCTGCAGATGTAAGCGACGCAGATTTATTTACAGCAGCAGCGACGGTTTGTATTAAATTCTTCTTCTCATCCATCTCATTTTTGATTCGATACACCACGAATGTTAAGCCGAGAATTCCAAAGATCATTGTTGAATACTTTATGAATGAATTCACAGATAGAAATCTGAAACGTTTTAATAATTTAATTATTTTCTTCAATTCAAAAACTTCTGGCGATAGGAAAGTCGCACATGTAAACGGCTCGAAATATTCCCGTGTAGGTTGTGTTCAAATGAACCGATTCTTCCACCCACATTAACGGAATGACTGTTTGAGGCAATTTTGACATCAGCTCGAATTTCTCAACGGGCTCGCAATCCAATGCGAATTGTAATCGTTTGGCAGCCGATAACGGAGTCGATGTCATCTGATTACAAATTTTAGAGAAAAAATGAGAAGCTTTTGTGAAATGAAACTTTTTTGGGTTGTAAATTAAAGGCAACCATTTCGAGATGCAAAAATATATCATGTTCAGCTCGATTCGGGTTCAATCCGTCAATATTTTTAGCTAACGTTTCATCGGCATCCAAAAACTGGGGCTTCGAAGCGATTAAGGGCGCTCCAGTGCAAGGGTATCTTTTTCAAAAGAAAGTTTTAAATAACAAATGAGAATTTCGAAAGACTTTTATAAATAATTAAATTAATTACAAGTCTAATGTACCCGATGGTGGACATTTTTCAACGTCCTGGTCACGACAGAAGCAATGTTGACGAGGATCACCCTAGATTAATTAAATTTAGCGATTTTTTTTGTGAAATTAAGCATTAAAGTTATTGATTAAATCTGATATGTTAGTCACAAACCTTTATGTCGCCAAAGTTCATGGAATAATATCCAGTAGGGACGTGATTGTATGACGACGGTTTTAAATATTCAGCGCCAAGTGAACGACACAAATCAGGTGCAAAAGCATACAAAATATCTTTTTTGTCATGGAATGGAGCAAAACTATGTTCAGAAATATTTCAAATTAGATCTGTGGTATTAAATTAATCAACGATCCATACATTGTACTATCAGTTCCAATGATTTCATTACATTCACCATCCCATGCATCAACTTCTTCTTCATCATCAAACTTTACAACTTCACCTAATTGCATTATGTCTTTAATCCCTCGGAAAACTTCGAAACGACCCATGCTCGTTGCATTCGCCTTTGTAAAGATGAAAATTTCAGAAAATTTTACTAAATTTTGGAAATAACTTACGCCACCCATAACAGAGAACTTTAGATACGTGTCGTTAACAACTTTAATAGGCTTTTCGTTTTCTAAAGCTTTGCAGAACGACATTGCTTCAAATTCCTCTGAGCTGCAATCGATTCCAACGCCATTGAATAAAATATCCATTACTGGTGCTGTCAGAAAAGGAGATTTCGGCTTGAAAATTGTTGTCATTGCTTTGGTTGCCATTTCAAGTAATGGTTCTTTATCTCTTTGAACGGCAATTAATCCTCCCTAATTGAACATGTTCAATGGATAAATGTCAATTTTAGTGAATTGTTTTGAATAGAATATTATTGTCATTGTCTTTTAAATGATTTCGTTAACAATGTTGATTAAAATTTAATTTAATTGAAACTCACCATAATTAACAAATGCGGGATTGTCACAATCTCATTGCCTGTCAATCCATCTGATAAATCTTGACGGAATATAAAAGTATTCACCATATCAAAAGCGACGGTATCCGCCTCTTCATTATCCACCAAATCAATTTTCTCTTTCCATTCACTGTCAATTATTTTGTAACAAGATGGTGAGAAAAGAAAATTAAAGTTTATTTAATTTTGTGTTCTTCTATTAGCTGTGAAATTGTTCCAACTTACTCGAAAATGTAGGGACCAATCTGCTCAACATGAGGCTGTTTTGAATAAAGAATTTTTATCGAGATGACATAAAAGTCTTATTTAATGGTCAGAGTGTTATTCACATGTTACGTCACAACAATATTAAGATATGAAATTGGAAACGTAAGATGGGAATTGATGAGAAAAGAATTAAATTGAAACTTTAGTCCATTAAAATCTAATCTCAGCTTTCTCGTCTTAATATCTTATCAAACAAGGGGCCTTTAAAGAAAGGAGACAATGCTGAGAATGGATTTAAAAGTATCTTCATTTAAATATATTCAACTAACTTTTCCTCCCATCAAGACGACATCGGCATTAGTGATGTTGAAAATGTAAACCTTAAATGTAACCGCAAATGGAGCTTTTTCCCATAACTTTCGAAGATCGGTTCCAGGCTTAAGAACGAGATTCTATAACAAAAAAAAAAAGTAAAACAAATATTTAATAAGCGAAAATCAATTTCAAAAATTGTCTTTCCTGGGAAATTAGCTTTCGCTTACATTTCTAAATTGTTTCTTTAAAAACTTTGGAACGAAAACGAATCCAAATAGAATCGCGAATAATATCAACACAACTGAAATGATGCCAACTTTTTTGTAATTAATTTTCTTCAAAAATGTTAAGTCATTCATGTTCTGTTATAATCAAGAAACTTTTACTAAACAATCGTACAACGACGAGAGATAAACTGAACTTGATTGAATCATTACACTATGTTAAATATAATAAACTATCCATACACTTGCTATTTAATTTTCCGGTCACATAAAGTATGATGGGAAAAGTTTCGTCCCACATCAGATGACAAAGTTTTGTTGCGATAGTGCATCGATTGAATTTATGCAACTTGTCGATTGGTGAAATGCTACACGTGTCGCTTACTGGCTTGACCTACCTACAAAAGACAAACAGAATTTTTGTATCCTTCAATTATTTACATCACTTTCGAATTCATTAAAACTTTACTCGTTACAATGTTTCGATATTTATTTATACACTTATCAACTCATTAATTCAACAACGTTCCGTTTATTTACTCCCATGCGAAAATCTTTATCATCAAAATTTCCTTTTTATAAGTATGCTGCTTGAGAAGAATGTTGACGACTAATAAACCTAATTTCTTTCTCTCCATTAAGTTCTGTCCTCGGGCAGAATTTGAAAGCATAAGCCTACGAGAAAACAAATTTTCCAAAACAGAATCTTATTAGCATGGAGATTTGAAATTCCTTTTCCTTTCAATGATATTTTAGCGGTTTTAGTCTCTTCTTACTTTCCATGGATATAAACGACAAGAACGATAAGTATAGACTTCAATCATCTCAAATTCCTTGATAATTTGTTATGATAACAAGAAATGAATGTAAATTGCTTAGACGAGAAAAATATTTCGAATCCCATTCGACATTGTTTTTTATTGCGTTGGTTGGCTAATTACCAAAGTGAAAACTTTTTGGTACTATTTACAAGAGAAATTGTTATTTTTTTGGTCCCAGTTTGTTTTGGGATGAAAAAGTTAACAACTTCAACTCTTTGAAAAGTTAAAATGAGAGAGCATGTTGGAAACGATGTTTAAATTACAGTATTTAAAAATAACGCGTCGTCATACAAGCAACTGCTACATTGTAAATTCATTAGAAATCATCTAGAGAGCTGACTGGGATGTAGAAAATTTTGTAGTCAGTAGAGAAACATAAAAGTACTTAATAGAAGTTATAATTAAACCCTTTTTTCTTAATAACTTCATTTTCAAGTTTTAATCTAAAAATCTTAGATATGCATAGCGGAATAAACTTCGACATTTATTACAAAAATCTATTTAATGTGGTTGCGTCTTTTAGTGAATTTTGTTGTGTCTTATTTTGAATGAGTATTAAAATTAAGATGTTTATACAATTTATAATTGTGGCATTCAGTTTTCTGCTTCATATTTTCGTTAAACGAACTCCAAATGAATATTTAATGAACAACAATTTATAATGAATGATAAATCATCTTATAATTATTATTTGTTTAACATCAGTTTATCATTATGATGTTCAGTTTTAACAGTGATAGGCAAGATTTTCTTATATTGTATTTAATTAATATTCAAATCGAATCTCTCTTCTAAAAAAGAATTGAAATTTCACTTCCATTTAAATCTAATTGAATCAACAGATCGAAAGATAAAGTGCTGTTGGAGCAGTCTCCCAATATGCAATTTCTGCATGACATCGTAAGCTGAATAAGTTTTGCAAATACAGCATAATCATTTCGTAAAAACAGAACATTTGTATTCGTTGATGGAACGTGATTTTAGGATCAACTTTAGCACGAGTATCTAAGCAAAAGCTTTTTAAAGCATTCTCGTCTTTGTCAGTATTAAAGTTTGTTGATTTTCGAAGCTTGAAGTCGATACAAATATGTAGAGTGTGAGATAATCGTCAGATGCTTTTACTGTGTCCATGAAAAAATATTCTCTAGTGGCATCTTCAATTAATAAACTGTTATGAATTGCCCTTGATTGTACAAATTTATGAATTTATAATGTCAAGGTTGATGCGCATATGAACAACGACATTGAAATTATTTATGATGCATTTAAAGTAACTTTACAGTTAATGACATACGATTATTGTTTTAACAGAGTGAGTAAGATTTTTAATAATAAAAAAATGATTAAGATAAAGACTTTCCTCATTTTTAACAAGAAATGTTCATTTCCTTCCATCTTTCCATTTCCGTTGAAGAGAAAGAAATTCTTTCTTCTTAAATACTTAAATATCCTTTTAAGTCCATTTTTTAAAAAGGAAAAGAGCAACAATTTGTGATGCCAGTGGTAACAGTTCTTCATAAATTTGTAATGACATCAATTGATAATAGAATTTGGTCCTAGGTTTCACTTTAATCTTACAACACAAGAAACTAAGCAACGGAAGGAAGGATCTACGTATTTGTAATGATTGACGTATAATTTCTATGGCCACATGGTCATCATAGAAAATCATGATAAAAATAGAACATCATAACAAATTCAATCTCAACACAAAATGATATTTGTCGAAGCCAAATTGGAAACTCTTTGTGTAATATTTCTTTTAAAGAATAAACATGAATGAAGTATCAGTTTGTAGTCATGAAGTTAGAAGTCTTTACTTTTCCATTCTTATAAGTTATAACAACGGATAGAAACATAAAATGAGGAAATCATGAATGAAAGCAATTATGAACGTTGCTTTTAAAATTGTTCCGTTTCTATAAAAAGTATAAAATTAGCAGCTTCATCTTCATCATCATTTTCCTTGACAATCATTCATCTGAAACCTTTTTCTCCAGCAATTGAGCAATTAAAAGTGGTATTTGTTGCAAAAACTTTCTTTTCTCAACGAAACTTGTTGCTATTATTTATCCAGCACATGGAATTTTCAGGTCATAACTTATGAATGACCCTTAATGTTAGTTGGTTGAGAAAGGAAAAAGAAAAATGATAGCAATGCAGTTTTACTGACATATCCATCGATCAGAACTTCTATGTAATTTCATGATGCAATTTATGTTGGCCAAGAGCTAACTAAATAGCATTTCTGAACGTTAAATGAATTATTTTTCTCATTACATAAATAAATAAAAGTTTTTCTTCAACTTTTACTAGCCATTACGAACTTTACAAATTTATAACTTTTTCATCTTTACATTTTGACGTGACTCACTTAAATATATACACACCCACAATAGGAGAGTTAATCATGATCGTAATAAAAAATTAAACTACTTTTTCATGCTTCTTTTTCTTGAAACGAGAAGAAATAAAAGGTGAAAAATGTTTTCAATTAGTATTTGAAAGGAAAATTTATGACCAAAATTATTTATTTAAACATTAAGCTGAAGGAAATACAATGAACACAGTTAGAATGTAAGAGTGGCAAGAAATGGGGCGAGAATTTATTGTGGGAAAAAGAAGTTAATAAAAACGGTTTTAGAGACCATCAAAATCGTCATGGAATTTAAAGAACTTCATCGTTTTGTTGTTGAAGGAGAAATTTCCGGTGATTCAAACAGAACAGCGATAAATTATTTTCGAATTTGTTGAACCATTTATATTATAAAAGAATTGAGTTTAAGTTCATCTTATAAAATGCCGCAGAGTGTGATTTGTTCTTGATGTTTAAATGTCCCGTAAATTGAATCCCATAACTTCCTATGGAACAAATGACGACCAAAGGAAACCGAAGGCAAACGAACACAGACTGAAGATAGCACATCACAAATTGAATTATTAAAATTTAATTATTCTATCTTCCTTTTTTGATATAAAATTTGTTATCACGATGAAAGGAAACAGAGGAAATAAAAATTCAAAAAGAAAATGAGATTTGGATGCCGTGAATAAATGAAAATGACTTTGAGTTTTCTTTTTTTGCTTATTCCATTTATTCAGTTAAAGATGAAGCGACAAATTCACATTCAAAGGAAGTTGCGCGGAATGCATTTTTGATTTCTCGAGAAATTCTCAAGTGGCTAAAATCATCACATTTTACATGACAAAGCATTTTAACCATTATGAACCTAAATTAATCTTGTTTAGATATTTTTATATCTTTCACTTTGATGTATCAGCTTTCACACTTTAAAAAGTTTTTAACAAAGCTGTTGCTTTAGGAACAGCAACAAAGAAGAGAAGGAGACAAGTAATAAAAAATGTTTGTCACTTAAGGCAATAATTTTGATGGATTTAAGGCTGAGAGAAAATTGGCTCGAACGAAGCTGTAAGTAAAACTTTTCCAAAGTCTATGAAAATTTGAATAAAATCTGTTTAAGCTGTAAAAGCGAAGAGTTATGAAGACAATTGAAACATCTCCAAGCAGAAGATTAAATTGTAAAGATAATGCTTTAATTTAGAAGAGTCAAATGAAGTTTAAATAAGCGATGTTTTATGCAAGGAAAATGTCGAAAAATATTTTATTTTAGTGTCATGAATCATGATGTGATTTATAAAGCAAACGTTTTCAGAAAATGCTAATAAAATTGGAAAATTGGTGAATAAAAATATCCTGAAAAATTCCACACAATCCTAAATCAAATTTTATTAAGTTGAATTTCGAATTCCGAAGTCATAAAAAATATTTCCACTCGTATATTGATAGCATTCATATCTGTCATCGTCATCCAGGAAAATTCACTTTTTATGAAGTGAGAGATTAATAAATCAGTTATTTTTGTTCATTGTGGATATCCTAGCTTAGTTAAAAATGCTTTTAAATAAATAATAAATTATGTTTTGCTGATGTAAAGTCAACGAAAATATTTATTGCATTTAACTGGCCACTCTCGGAGATTGCAAATATTTGCAACAAAATGCAGAAAATTGAGGTCAATGCAAGCGCCTATAAAATCCTGAAAAGTGAAGACATTGTTTCACGTAAATGGAATATTTTACAACATTTTGTACTGAAACAATGTGATAAAAGCAAATAAATTAAATGATTTAATAAACCTTATTGTTGAATGTCATAAATTTACAATAACCACATTACGTAATGTTTTCTAATTAATAAATACAAATAAAATGAAAAATTAATTATTTAGCCGTGAAAATAAATAAATGACGAAGGAAATGAATGAAAATGAAGGAAAATTAATTTTCATGTCAAACAAATTCAGTTTCTTCCCACACTATAGAAAAGGAAAAACTAGAGCGGAAATTTTCCGAGATTCAGCATAAAAAAACAAACTAAAACTTCTAATCATATCAACTCTATTCACCAAGCAATACCATTAAGCTTTAAACCGAAAAGATCTTGATCTATCAAACAGTATTGCTTCATGCTTCATATCTGTTTTCAACCATCGTCGTGCACATTTTTCTTACTTCAGCTAAACTTTTCCAGATGAAAGATAAAAAGGGAGATGAAAAAGGGGGGACGTTGAGATTTCAAGAGCTTTTAAACTGTAAATACTTTATCTCGACACAAGACGAGGCAGGAAAGATAACACAACCTTTCTCCTTTCATTTAAAAGACTCGCATTCTCCTGAGCTTTAGACTGATTATTTTATTGTTTCTCTGGTGCTGCAAAGACAGAGCATATTTGTAAAGTTCGCTTAATGATTTCCGTATCTCTGATTGTAACGAGTCTGGAGTGTAGTTGTTATGATTCAAGGAAATTCTTTAATATTCTGAATATTTCCGTCTCCATGTTAATTCCTTTTGTGTTGCTTTAATTAATCGTTCTTTAAATTAACTTTACAGAGTGTTTCACAAAAAGTTTACAATTATTTACTCGCATTTTAAGTTTGTGGGTGGTGGGGAAGTCGTTAGAAGAATTCACTGTCAAATCAAATCTTTTCACTAAATATATTTACAACGCTCCCATAAACATACTTAAGTTGGAGTTTATTCAAGCGAAGAAGTCAAATTTTATGATTCAGTAAAATTCTATGCTGGCTGTCATTCTTTGTCATCCTTTCTTGGTAATATTTTCGGCTTTATTTATATATTTTCATAACCAACCATGACAAATTATTTTTCCATTTACAAAAGAAATTATTTAAACTTATTTTCGGAAGAATATTTCGCTAATTACTTTGCTAATAGATTGAGTCGAGTAGCGATAATCATTAATTAATCTTGAAGAATCAACTGAATTTATGAAAAGTTTCGTGAAATTTTTTTGGGAAAACATAGAAAATTTGTGTTTTTGAACATTCAAAAAGATGAAAATATTTGAAGCGTGATTTAATCCAAAAAGCAATCATTAGAAGCTTCAATATCGCTACACATAAATGTTATTTATAGTTGAAAATTGTTCAAAGCTTTCTAGCTTATTAAGAAGATAAGTTAGATGAAAGAAATTTTCCAATATTCTTTCTTCATTTTGTAGATTGAACCTATCAGCTATCGTTGACTGAGAATATTTCCACATTCGCTCAAAATTATGACGAGTTTTGTTTTTATGATAAAATTATTTCCACCATCATGTTCTTGTTTCAACATACATTCTTGTATAAAAATGTTCAAAACCAAAAATTAAATCCATTTTTAATACTTTCAGTAGAGTTTATTTCGTAAATTTTCACTGAAATAAGGACGCGAGAATTTCTGAGATAAAAGCTGATTACCTTTTTTCCTTTAGTTTTCATCCTCCAAGCTTCTATCAGCGATATGTAGTAAGTAAAAGCTCTGAATAAAATATTATGTGATCGTCGGCTTCTCTGAAATTTTTTAATTAAAAACATTTCCTGGTAAACCACTAAGGTCTGATGATCAAATAACATTTATAATGAACGGCAGAGAACGTCATTATTCTACCCAATGATAGGTCGGGATGTAGTCATGTTGTTGCCAATAGCCTCATGAAATATAACAGCCTTGGTTGACCGAGCTGGCAAGCAAAACTTTTATACTTTTAAACTTCTTCTTTTGTATTATCAAAATCAACACCATTCAACTGAAACTTTTTCACAAAAACCATTAATAATAATTTTCCTTTCCTCATCGAACTCGATGAAAAAATTCTTCGTAAAAATGCTATCAGGGATTTTTATATCGCTTATTATTTTTATTATCTACAAAATATCTGCGATTAACAAACTTTTGTTTATTTTTCTAATTTTTGCAATATGATTAATGTTGGTTTAACATAAATTTTCCTATTGGTGAAACTTCTTCCTCGTTCACAATTTTCTTGTTTTTATTTTCGTCTTTAATTTTGGTCATCTTACGATTTGAATGAATGCATTTAAAAACTTTAACAAGAAACAAATTTGAGACCTATGTATAATGTTCATCAAAAATTTATGTCAGCACATTGACAAAATTACTTTCCTTTTTCGGTTTTTATTTTTTGGTAACTGCAAATTTTTCTTGACGACATTATGAATATTGGAAAAGGGGTTTTCATCGTCTGATGAAATGTCTTTCAATTTCATTGATTACACAACTAAGACTTTAAGAGAGTTTTTGTAAATTCAAGAAATTTTCTATTTTCGTTAGATATATTTATGTGTCAGTAAGTCTAAAAGGATTCTTCTTTTATTTTCTTCTAAATAAAATCAATGACGAAATTGCTGCCTTCTATTTTCAGATGCAAAATCGAATAACATGAAGTAATGTTACACGAGGCGTAAACATTAGATGAGAAAATCCTTTGTGTACTTCAACAAGAATAACATTATCCGGAATAAACAAGAAAAAATTAAATTTCATTATTATTAATATAGAAAAAGAGTTTCAGAATAAATTAGAACAAGCCAATTTAATCAATTTTCAATTTTTCTTCTTGTTTTTTTGTTAAATAAACATTTACTTTACATACATCCGACATAAATACATTAGATAATTTTTTTAATCATTTACTTGACTACTGTTGTTCACTTCAACTGTAATTTAACGGAGATTGATTTATTTTCCAAATATTTCGAATTAATTCACAAGTAACAATGAAAAACACTCTCAATAAGTCTCGTTATGATTCTTGCATTCAAATTTATGTTTTTTTCAGCTTCCAATTAAATTAAACATGACATTATCAGCAAAATTAATGCTTTTATTTTATTTAAAATTTATGCAAATGAAACTATGTTCTTTTTTATGTAAGCTAATGAATTATTCATTAAGAGAAATAGGAAATCTTGACTATTCATGGAAACAAAGTCTTTAAAATTTAAATGTTGTTAGAGCTTCTAATAAATGTGCTCTTTAATTTATTAAAAGCTTGTCAATGTTATTGTATGCTTCAAAGCTTTCGAGAAGCTTGTAAAACAGAAGTTAGAAAATGTTCAAATCTCTGTTGTGAAGCTTTTTATTGTTCTAAGCATGCAGAAATAAAATTTAAATAAACAGCTAACTATCATAAAAAATCTTAGTAAAATTGATCTATCATTGAACAAAAAGATATAATTTAAGTTTAAAAAAATATAATTTATCGTAGATATTTAGTCAACAATTTATCAAATTAGATATGTTAACATTGGCAAAAATCAAATTATGTCATCATTTTCCTAAGTACTTTATTTAATTTTTTTGATATTCATGTAACGTCTTCCGATTCACTCTCGCATAAAATAATTTAAATTAGTTAAACAAATAAATTTGTCCTAAATGTTGTTATTTCATTTTTGTTTTAAGATAAAATAAACAACAGACTTAACCGATGTATCCATTTAACAATGATAATTAGCTCATGACTTAACAAAGAAAAAATAAATTGACAAAAGATAAAATGGAGGCAGTTGGAACTGATTAATGTTTCTAATGATTCTCCAACAATAAATTGTATTCAGAAGTGTGTTTGTGTCACTAGTTGTTATAGTTTTTTCCTTCTAGAAATGTCAGTGCGATGATGTGCAGCCAGCTATAATGACAACATCAGGCGCTGACTTTCTCACATCACTATACGATCTTCCCTGTGTATCATCCCTTTTCAGTAAAATCTTTTTATGTTTATCATCATCTAACATTGTCTGCAACTCATCCATTCTAACATTTGTACCCACGGCACTGGTATCAATTCCTTCTGGGCTTGATTGATTTGTACTTGAATGTATGTGATGATAATGATGATGATGTTGATGCTGGTGTGGCATTGTGCTTTTTCCAGATTGACTATGTGTCGGACATGAAGCACCGGGTATAGTTTGTTCTATATTAGGCGGTGGAGGTGGTGATGGCGTCGACGAGTCTAAATATCCGAATGTTGAAAAGCGCAATCCATATGGCGATGGCGACTGGGTCACTTTGTTTTTGAAAACCGGTTGGAAAAGTGATTCTCTATTCGATCATTTAAGAAGAATTTAAGAACCATCAGTGTCAGCAACAGCATGGAAATAAATAAAAAAGAGGGAATTACTTAAAACCTAACACAATTATTTAGACATCAATCATAAAGATTTTCTCCGAAAACCAAGTAATGACGGTCGGAAGTGACGAAGGAAAGAAAAGAAAATGATCCAAAATTGATTAATTACTTACCGAGTTTGACATGCCATGTCGCACATTTCGCCATCTTTTCGATCATCTTCATATGATGATCCGAAAATATTTTTGATCTCTTGTTCCCTTAAATTAAAGTTATTTTTACTATCTATGTTCCTAGCACCATTTGTGTTTGTGATCGCTTCACGATAATATTGGTGGTTTGTTGAGTTGTTCTCAATAAGATTTATTGAGGTTGGTGAATCAGGATCGAACGACGGAGGTGGAATTTTTGTGAGAGTGTGCATCGCAATATTTTCCTTCGATTTGGTCAATTTTGTTGAGTGTCGTCCCAGTTCATCTAACTTGCTTTCGTGCGATTGACGGATATGCTCCTAATAATCACAAAACCAAAGTGCAAATTAAATTAAATATTTTCACGGTCTTCAAGGGATTACAACGGAAAGGATTTTATGCACTCGAATGAGTGACTCTTTGATGCTTTTATCGAAATTAAAAGCATGGACACTTTAACGACGTTGTTCAAATAACCTTGAGGCAAACTTCCTCAACATTTACATAAATACACTGAGAAAACTTTTCTGTTATCCTAAAGAAAACTTCTCCGATGGACAAGAAAAAAGGCCGATAGACCAAAAATTTTTCTCAGTGTGGGCAAACCAGCGTTAAGTATGAGAAAGCGGAAAAAAGATAACAGTCAATTTATTTTGTCGAGTTTCCTTTTTTTCTGCCTGTTCATTTGGCGTAGAAAGATTTTAAATTTGTTGTGAATGGAAACGACGGTATGGAACTCCAAGTAACCTTATAGTTGACCGAAGAGAAAAGAAATCGATAATTCGAGAAAAAGATTTAGTAACATTCCTTTTTATTATTAAAGTATTTAGATATTATCAATTGAAAGCCTTTATTAATTCCCTTTGTAAATATGAAATGAACTTTTCCGGAAGCAAACTTTTACTTAGATTCACATTAAAATTAATTCTTTCTTCTAACTTTTCACATGAAGGAATGCTGAAGTTATGAATAGGAAATTATGCAGTATGATGATAAAAGAAAAGGCATCTCGATGATTTGCATAATTTATGTTCGAACATAGACGAAGCTTATGGGGAAAATTTGAATGAATAAATCTTAATCGGAAAATGGATGTTTTCCGAATCTTTTCCCATTAGGAATTTCATCGATAAACGTTCATGATCCATTAATATAAAATCGAATTTTAGATAAATACTTACTCGAATGATCTTATGATCTCGCAAGATTTTTCTCATGCAGCTTATGATAAATGCTATCAACATGACTGCCAACATGACACAGAACACTACAACAATAATGAAAACATGCTCGGATTCTTCATTACTTTTCTGTTTGTATTAAAATTTGTAGAGAAAGAGAAAAAAAAATTCATAAATGAAGTGTTGAAATGCTAATGAGAAAAATTTATGTCACGACTTCACTTACTTCACATTTTGTCGGATCTTCATCCCATAGTAATCGACAATTATTTCTGCGATTGCATCTCAAATAGCTTTTTATGCACGTGTGATCATCACAATCATATTCGTCTTCCCTACATTGACCTATATCATCAATGTGGTCATTTATTATGCAAAGCGACACATGGATTGGCGATAAAAGTAAGTAAAAAGTGAGAAAAAAAGGTTTAAGATTAAATTTCGAAATGCCCATAAATTGTGCTGAGAACCCACCTTTGCCTTTATCCCTATAAGCTGTATACAAAATTTTAAACGATGATTTGATTGCCGCTGCTTCAGCGAAATACCGAATATGAAGAATATTCGTTTTGGACTGCACACTGGAGTCAGCCATTGAACCGCAAAAGTTTCTGAGTCTGAAAAAAACAGCAGGGCAATGATATATAAAACATTTGGCGAGTAAAGGGGATTTGCTTCTTCTTTCTTTCATTTTAAACAAATTTCTGTTCCATTATCCTTCATCCAGTGGGGGGTGTTGAAGTGTAACTGAAGAGAATTATGTTTTGATTTCCCTTAGAAGCTTAAGATCCTTATGGGCTTTCTTCCCTCATCTAACCCAAATTAAGTAGTACTGACTTATGTTTCGCTTTCAAATCTCTGTTTGACCTACTCCACTGTTTAAAAGCTTTCAAACCGTGAAATTTTCTGATAACAAAAAAAGTTTGCTTCAACATTTCTTTCTTCTTTTGCTTTCCTGTGCTTTGTTACTCAAACGAAATACATATATAAATAAAGAAAGAACCAAATCATGCATTAAACATAGATGCGAAGAAAATTGCTTTGAATTTTTTTGTATTTCAATGAACATTGTGGAAAGAAAAAAAACGAATATGAACAAATAAAGATGAGATTGAGTGTGAGCGAAAGATGAAACAAATTGTCGATGTTCAACAAACATTTCAGTGAAGAAATTTACGTAGCAAACAAAATTTGCATAATTAAAGATGTAGTTTGTTTAACAAGTTAATTTGCTTTCAAAGATGTTACTTTGTTTGCTGAGCTTTCAATATTTCCCGTAGCAATTGTGCACAGTTTGAACTGTGCAGAAAAAAGAGCTTTTATTGGCCAATTGAATAATTCATTCCAGTATTTTAACAAACAGAAACAAGCATTATTGCATATTTCATTAAATCTTCTATAAGGAAATTGTACCCATTCAATTACGAGAGGGAAAATGAAAACTCTCAGTCCATAATAATTGCGTTTATTCATCTCGATTGTTTCTACATTGAAATTTATTTTCTTTCAAAAGAACTTTAATTACAATCTCATTTGACGGATTCTAAGCATGATTAGCTTAATTATAAGTATTTTCCTTCCAACACTTGTTATTAATTAATGCAAATCAAATTCAATTTGTAGCAGTTATCACCTTCATCAAGTCAGTAATTAGGCTTTTATTTGAAGAGGTTCATATATCCTCGTAATTTTCATCATCAACACTTAAGTAAACACACACGCTTCGTGTTACCTTTTTTCTTTTCCCCCTTGTTTTTCTCTCGGAAGTGGTAATATTTTGATATTTAAGAAATTAACATCAAGATTCTCAAACTCACCTTGACGGTAAATCTGTGTTCTCACCAAAAACATCAACAAAATTGCTGTCACAATCGTTCGGTTTATCGAGTTTAAAGTCCGTAAAGCTTAATTGGATCTGAAAAATTATTCAAAGTCAAATCAAGTAATAAAGTAGGGTATTGACATTTACCTTCCAGTCTTCTTCAACTTGTATCATCCACAAACAATCTAATGGCAAATTATTTTTAACAACAGCATCTAATTTTTCTTGGCTTATTAAGGTCTCATTAACAAAACCTTCAAATCCTCCTAACGTTTCACCACATTCTAAGTCGTCATATACAGCTGTATAATGATAAAAAGGAAATAATAATTTTTTAAATTAGAAGAATCCATAGAAGAAGAATTTCATAGAAGAATCGAAGTATAAAAAGCGATTAAATAAAAATAACTGAATTAAAAGTTTTCCAATTACCTGAAGTTGGACGTGGAATATATTCATAAACAGCTTTAAAGCCTTCATATTCAATGTTTTCGTCCGAGTGAAAGTGAAGCCATAGAAAACGACCTGTAGATGTGATGATATCAGGGAAATTGTGGCCACAATATTGGCCTATTTTTGTAGAAAATCCATGCGCTCCATCTCGTATCTACATCATTTACAAAGATACATATTTGCATAGTAATGTGGTTTGAGGAGAAGTAGAGGAGAGGGAAAAAGAAGAATAACATTAATATTCATACAATTTAATTTATTGTGACACCGCAATGTTTGTAAATATACAAGGAGTTGAAGAAGGGATTTACGTTACGTACGTAAGGATAGTGGATTATACGTTACGTACATTCAGACAGTGCATGTTACGTTACGTATGTTTAGCATACGTTAAATATTGAACGTTAATCACGTAGCTTAGTGTTGAAAAGAAAAGCAAAAATTACCTCGAGATAGTCAAATTTGCAATCATCCGAAGGCTCAATGTTAAAGTGATCACGAAAATCGAGTCTTAAAAGGTAGCCAGGGGGAGCTTCAAAAACAAATTAGAGATAAGATTTTGATTTTGATAGCAATCATTATTTTTATATTAGCAATTTGCTTACCTTCAAGCACACGAACGCAGCTCATGTTCTTTGTATAATGATCCGGATATCCCGGACTAGAAAATGTTTTAGTTGCATTACTACCAATTGAGAACAGCTCACATTCTGGTGCCATTGTCTTCTCTTTCATAGCCGAACGTTTTGCTTTCAATGGCTGTTCTAATAACACAGACTTGTTTCTACGAAATTCCTGATTATGAACATTTCCAAAATATTGTACAGTTGTCGACGAAACGAGTGGAATTGATTGTGGAGTCGTTACGGTGAGAGCTGATGACATGTTTGACGATAAAATATTTTTTCTAATCAAAATGCCACTGGAGTCTGTTGAAATGTCTCGTCGTGTCAATGTTGAGTGAGACAATATAAATTTAACAGCTGCCGATGTCGAATCATTTGACGTTGCTGTGGAGCGATGTGTTGAAAGGCGCAGACAAGGAAGATACAGAGAAGATTGAGAGCGAACGTTAGAGACGTGATATAAATTATGTATGTGATATATTTTATTGCCACAATTTATATTATCCGGCGATGTGGAACAGGCGTTTCTCGAATATTGAGAGAAGGTAACGGCAGAACTTTTCTGCATGTTATTAAATTATTCAATTGCACAATTCCATTTCGTACGATTTGAGGTAACAATTGAGGAAATTAAATTTCTCTTTCTCATTCACAGTTTTTCTTTGTTTGCTTTACATTTAAAAACTTTACATTCTCAATTATCAGATGTGAAGCTCAGAACTAACTTGAAATTCCTAAAATTATTCTCCACAAGGGATTTCATTATTGTCAGAGTTTAACTTAATTTTTTTTTCTTTTGTTTTCCAAACAGAAGACTTGAAAAGGTCTCTTTAGTTNCTCAAATCTTTTATCTAACGATTTTATTTCAAAATAATTGTTCCAATCAACATTTTTAAGATTTGAAATTAAAGATTCTTTATTATATTTTGATCTATCATGAATCGTTATTAATTCTCTTCTTTGATTAGCATTATTATTTGAGCCAATTATGTTAACTTTTATAAAATTATGATCTGCAATATTTATTTCATTTGTAACATTACAATCAATATTCGTGCGTGATGTGAAGAACCAATCAATAATTGTTGAAGACGATTTTGTTTCTCTTGTCGGAGTTTTAATAAGTTGTTTCAATTGAAAATTTTTTGCAATTTGAATAATATTTTTAGAATCATTTTTATTCGCAAGATTAATATTAAAATCACCAATAATATGTTTGTGGCCATGAAAGCAATTAATTTCATCTAAAAAGATTTCAAAAAATGAAGAGAATTCTGATATTTTTGATTTATGGCCTCTATAAATTACTGCAAAAATATCACATACAAACCCTTTAGTAACTTTTATTGTTAATGCCCAAATATTATTTAAGTTGTAATTCTTGATCACGTAAGCGTTGATTGTTTCATGTAAGTAAATTGCTGTACCTCCTGTGTGTCTATTATAAGAATCATTTCTTATTAAATTATACTTATTAATTTTTAGTTCATTATCATTCATTTCATCAATTGTTCTTGCTTCACTTAAAAGTAAAATTTTCGGCTCATGCTCGAAACAAAAAATTCTCAAAGAATTTATGTTAGAAAAAAGACTTTGCGCATTAGTATACCAAATAAGATTTTTTTCTGATTGCTATTCATAGGAAATTCTCTTTTTCTTCATTTCTATTCTTTTTTTATAAGTTTCACAAGATTCGTCCCAAACTGTATGATTTGTAGGGTATTTCAAATTAAATTTTCTGTTCGAATCACAGCAATTTACACAGTTAAATTCTGTGGATTTACAATCTTTTAGACGATGATTATCTCCACATTTTGGGCAATTTACTTTTTCACTTTTACAGTCTTTTTCCAGATGTGAAAGACGTGAACATTTGTAGCATCGCGTCAGACTGAGAGCGTCAAAAATTTTGCATCTACAGAAAAGCATCATTATGTAACCTTGACTAATAATTTTTTTATAATTACTTCCATTCACTTCGATAATGATAGTTTTCTTATCATTTACTTTTTTATCAGAAATTATTTTTAAAATCTTCAATGAATCATTATCAGGAAATAAGTGCTCGTTCTGATTGAAAATACTTTTTTTTAGGTCATCATCAGTTGGATTGTCATTGCATTTATCGTAAAAAATTATTTTTATTTTCGGATTTATTTGATCAGGAACTGAGACCTCAAAACTATCACCAAGCTTATCGCGTAAATTTTTTTCTAAGTCATTATTATCAGATGTAGTTGAAATGACGACTCCATTTTGTGAAGTGTTTGATAATCCCTTAACTTTATCTTTTTTGGGGTCAACGATCTTTGACAAACGCTGTTTAGTGGAATCTCTATTCACATTATCATCTTTCGGTTTTATCACAATTCTTTTGTCTTTAGGTTTTTTCAAAACTTCAGAAAATGACGCGCTATCAATTGATTGAACTTTCGGAACATTACTTTCAATAATTTTCTTGTCCAAATCGTTAACTTTCTCAGCAATTTCACTCAATGAAGCTTTAATTAATTTCAAGTCGAATGCTGTTTCATTTTTAATATGCAAACATGCAGTGCAAAACCACCGAAATCCAATTTTACGTTCCAAATAAGATTTAATTATCGTTATATCTTCTAATGCTACATTTTTTAGGTTTTTATCGATGCAATTAATATGAAAAGAATTATCACAACTATTACATAATATTTCCCAATTTCTTTCGTATTTTTTTCTGCAAACACCGCACTTTTTTTCTTCAGCCATTGTGGCAATATAATTTCGTAAATTATCCTTCTAAATGAACGTATTTGTAGTTTCTGTCATAAATCACAAGATTATTGATAAAAATTTAACAATTCTAAGTAATATTACTTCATAAAAATTGAATATTTCACCGTGAATTAAATAAATTTTGAGTTTTTGTGTGTTTACTTGAATCTTCGAAAATTCGAATTGTGTCGTCGAAAATTCGAAGATTGAGAGCGAACGTTAGAGACGTGATATAAATTATGTATGTGATATATTTTATTGCCACAATTTATATTATCCGGCGATGTGGAACAGGCGTTTCTCGAATATTGAGAGAAGGTAACGGCAGAACTTTTCTGCATGTTATTAAATTATTCAATTGCACAATTCCATTTCGTACGATTTGAGGTAACAATTGAGGAAATTAAATTTCTCTTTCTCATTCACAGTTTTTCTTTGTTTGCTTTACATTTAAAAACTTTACATTCTCAATTATCAGATGTGAAGCTCAGAACTAACTTGAAATTCCTAAAATTATTCTCCACAAGGGATTTCATTATTGTCAGAGTTTAACTTAATTTTTTTTTTCTTTTGTTTTCCAAACAGAAAACTTGAAAAGGTCTCTTTAGTTAATAAACTTTTCAAAAAAGAAACTTTGAAAATCTGTGAAAGACGCTGAATGTTCATTCGACAATGATTTACTAAGAGTTATTGTGACTGCTCGTGCGGAGCTTTTCAGAATTTGAAATTGAAGGAAAATCAATGTCAAGGCAGCAATTTTGTTGATTACTCATTGATAAAATATTCGACTAGAATTTTATCTTATTCAATTTTCTGATTTGCTTTTCCAAAAATCTTAAGTCATGACAAGCCTTTGACAACATTAATTTTTCGATAACGTCTTTGAAAATCAAAACAAGATTTCATCCTTTTTCATTCAAAAAATATTCATGCAGAAATGAAGAATGATTTAAGAAATCATTTCTGTTCCATCTTTTCAACCAAGGCAAAAAAAAATTTAAACTCATTACCATAATAAAGAAAGCTTTTGAGAGACATTCAACTGGCATTGATGTGATAACAATCAGTAAAGTGTCGACATTCAAATCACGACTTCTTTAACATTTTGATGCTTTTGCTTTTATCGAAACAGAGCAGGAAAAGTTTGATAAGCGACGACAAATGATGACAGCAACTTTTATTGAAAGAAATTTGTCAAAGAATTTTTATGAACGGAAGCCTTTAAAAGAATGTAGCAAGTGGGAAGCTTGAAGCTTCAAAAGGGTATCGTTGTCAAGAAACAAATCTTTGTTTGATGGAGATTTTCCTTTTTCTTGCTTCTTCCCTGCGGCATTGTCATGACTCATGACGCATTTACTCGCATGACATTTTCTCACGTGTTTTCTCTTTTAACATATCTACATAAATCTTGAAATTAAATTTAACATTGAGTGCTGGCTTCGAAAAGGTTTTTCTCCTTAATTCCTTTGTTGTGGGTAATGTAAAGTTTCATAACAACACACTTGGTGTTCTTTTTCACGCCCAACTTAAGCACCACATATATGTAGACCCATAACAATATTTGATGAAAACTCTGTTTTTGTTACTAAAAGTTTACAGCTCATCTTTATGTATGTAAAGTAGCATCTGCGACAATATTTACATTATTTTTATTAAATTTATTGTCTAATGTCACGTCATAAGTAAAAGAGAGCGGGTAGGAAATGACATGATTTACTGAATCACGAAGTAACTGGCTTGTTTGTTTGCACATAAGATGGAAAATAAGAGATTTTCCGTCTTTTGTGTATCTTTCGTCACTCAATATTATTGGGCCATTGTTCTTGTTAGGTGTTGAAGCCAGTCAAAATAATTCTTCGAAATCATCTCAATCAATAACTTTCATCACATCAAATCTTCTTATTTTTTAACAAGCTTTGAAAGACTTTTATACGAAAATATAAACAAGAAGTCGTAAAGTTTTTCATCAGACATCGCTCGCCATCATTCTTCAGACATTAATCTCGAATACTTGACTAAAGCTTCAATAAACTTACCATCTATAAAAGTTGAAATACTGATCAATAAAAGTATCCAAACGTGTAACTTCATCGTTGAATAGCCATCTAATTTTAAGTTTAATTATCGAAATAGTCATTAATGTTAAATATTCTTCTCATTTTCACTCGCATCTGTGTATGCGTTTGAATATTGATTAATCATGTTGTTTCTCATCTTTAGGATTCATTTTCGTTAATGATGACATCATTAGTTCAATCCTTGATATGACAAGCGTTGTTTTGGGTGATAAATTTTATTATTATTGTCTATCACTATTCATGCGAAGAAATTTTTTTTCCTTCTATGTTATGCACATCACAGCAAAGCTTTTGCTTTGTTTTTGTCGCCTTCTTCATCTGTCTCTTGATGTTTGCGCTCTTTATTGAAACGACATACTTAATGTTTAATTCAACGACATTGTGTCACATAAATAAATCCCATAAATCACATTACTCAATTTATTTCATGTACTTAATTCATAAATCATACATATTTTTGTTACACTTGTTTCACTGTTTCCTATAATTTTTTTTTGTTTCAGGAAGAAATTTCTTTTTCCGTCATTTCACGAGAGCAATTTTAATCGTCTAATTTGTATTCGTATCTGTAAATGTAATTTTCAATTAGATAATTATGATGTAAGTTAGACTGAACATGAGAACAGTGGAAGGTTAAGGAAATATTTTCTATTCAAACCGATAACTGCGGCATTTATCATTAAGATCAGATTTGCTTCATGATGTTTCATGTTTTCATCTCGCGAACCTTTCATTTTCATATCAACTTCTCTTTCCTGAATTTTCACGCCTTTCAAGTCATGCTCGAACACATTTCTCATTTCTTTATAAATTGTTTCAACAAATTAAAAGCAAGAACTTTGTGCTTCTTAATTATACACTTGAATGTAGAATATTTCGTATCCCTACTCCCTAAAGCACAACAAATAATGACGTGATGCTTTCCTACTCTTTTAAAACTTATGAGGTTAGAAAAGGTTTAAATTAGATCAGAATTTCTTTCTTTCATGAACATACATAAGAGAATTAAGAAGAGTGACGGTGAAATCTGTGTCAAGTTCAATTTTGTCTTCGTTGACTCTAAAAATATTATCGTCGGAGGATTGTAACGCACACAAAATCTCTTTTAAGTTACATTCAACGTGTATGAGATTTACAATCTTCTCATTCCATTGGCTGCCTTTTTGCTTTTATTACTTTTTTATTATTACACAAAATTTCCACTCGATTTCATCAAACACTCGCGAATCCAGCGCCAAGAATAATCTATGCCAATAAAAAATAAAACCAACATTTTATTGACTTCCCATTTTTATCTCATTAAAATATTTCCAAAATGTTAGACTCGTTGATTCTTTGTTGTTTGCTTTCTGGTCTCATTTTTCATTAGCTTTGGATAATAATTGCGGCAAAAAATCCATCGAAAAACATGGAAAATCGATTTAAAATAAAACATAAACATGAAGCAAAAACCAAATAATAATTTGAATATTTCTAACCCTCATTTAATCTCGATATGTGAATCAATGTTTGCAAATGAAGCTTCAAGCTAATTTATTCAAATAATTAAACATATATTCATAAATATATCATTGTGTTAGAGACGATTGATGCTTTTCTCATTAAAATAGAGTTGGACGATGAGAAAAACAACGACAGAGCAGCATACAAGAGAAAATATCGTCAAATTACCCACAGACAAGAAAGTAAGGAAAAGAGATTTTTGGCATTGAATCAAAAATTTTTAAGGCATTTTTCTTGATTTTCTTAGCGATGATATTCTTTTTCTTTCATTATTGAGGGCTACGGTGGAAAGGCACGAGAGATGAGAAGTACTGTATCTGGGGGAAGGTCACTCACATTTTATTTGCTTTCGGAATGATGAAACAAAAACGGAGATGAAAGCAAATCAGAAAAAATCGCTTATTTTTGTTCAATAAACATCTTTTTGAAAATATATTGTTCAGTCTGAATAATAATGGGAATCGTTTATTCATTTGGTTTCAAATCGCTTGCTTTTGTTTGACATTTTTTTGCTTGATAACATGAAGTGACGAAAGTTCTAAACAAACATTCAGGAAACGACAAGAAGCAATGAAATTTTTATTACACAATTCGATTGATGTTAGCTGAATCATGATAAGAAATTATTTAAGTTTAATTCGTTCAACTTCAACTCTCGGACTTGCATGCTTTAATAGAGATAATAAAAAGGAATTCGAATGAAACGAACATCTTTTGTGATCACCAACATGTATAGAGAGAAAAAAAGGTTGAACTGAAACGCGATAAAAGTTTTAGAAAAGCGTTTATGATAATTTTTATAGAAACATTTGCGGTGAAAATCTCACCCTAGAAATTCAATAATCTTAAACATTGGCATTTTCAAGCATAATCCCAAAAGATTTTATCTTCGCTCTTTTCATGAACGAAACAAAAGAATCCGCTTAGCATTTTTTTGTTATTTTTCTCCTTCATTGCCTTCATTGCATGGCAACTTTAAGTGAAATGTTTCATTCAGCGTATATTTTAATCGAATTCTAAGAAATGTTTTGTGTTTAATGAGTTGCTTATTTGATTGATGATTGCATTTTCTCTTAATTGTTACAAGAAATCTTCTTGAAAGTTCTCAAGTTCAAAGAAGTTTCTTCATTAAAAATAATTAAAATGATCAAACAATTTAAGTCGATTAATTAAAGTAAGAAAACAAAGTTTTAGGAAATTTATTTGATTATATTTTCCCAATTTGTTCTTAAGGAAACCAGAAATTAAAAGCAAACATTCTCTCGTTTATTCGATTTGAGAAACCATAGAAATAAAGACTTTTTCCTCAACCAACAATCTTATCCTTGTTGTGTCTAAAAGTCACGAATTTCATGTAACGATGCCTCGACAAATAAACGCTACGTGATGATATTGTCAATATGCAATAAAACATAAATTGAATTTTGATTTTCAGAAATGTTTTCTAAGCACATTACATAAAACTTTTCTTTTTTCCTATTTCCATGGGATCAATAGAAAAGTTCGATGTTTTCTAATATTGTTGATTGTTGTTAATCTCAACTTAGATATTTGATTTCACGAATTATTCGATTAGTTTTTTCAAGAGTCAAGTCTATAACATTTCACATGTTCGATGTTTATTCTTGTGATAAGTTGAAAGATTTATGTGAAAAAAACAACGTGATGAAAAGTTGAGTAACGTTCATGTTGGTTTAATTGAATTAATCCAACATTTAATCTTTTATTTGATGATAAACTTTTTTTTTAATAGATATAACAAGGTAAGTGTTGACATTGATAAGTGAATAACCCAGCTTTTCTGCTTATTACATGAAGAATTATTTATTCCATTAGCTTCGGATGTTGTGAGATGTTCACAACAGAAATTCATTTATGTTGGAAATTTCTCTTTGATTTAAGTTTCCTCGTTTATGTTGTAACGTTTTTCATTATAACAGATTGATTCACATAAAGATGAGACGACAGAAACAACTGAGGAAAGATTATCACGACTAAAATAAACGCAACAACCAGAAAATAAAGCTTATTGTAACGAACCACATGAAGAGAGATTTTCGTTCCATGTTCGATGCAACCGAAACCCACAAATCTTGTCACACTGACTGAGTTATCTTGTTGCTCTCAGAAAAATGTAAAATTCCATAAACTTTTTGTCATTTAACCATCAGAATGTGAACAAAAGCATTTTCAACTTATTCTCTATTTGTTTTTTATTCGTCTGTTAAACACCAGAAATATCTGTTTGTAATGATATTTCCGATTTATTTTTCTGTCAAATGCAGATGAGTCCATTTTCATATAATCACTTTCAATGAGGATTTCCATCACGAAAATTTACTGAGAGATTATGAAAACAACAGTGAACCGATGTTCTCGTTTGTTTTTTTGCCGTATCCGTCCGACGAGCATACGACCTATGTGTACGTTTCAGGTCAATTTGACTTGAGTAGATATAAAATGATTAAGATCAAGAGCACTTTCGAAAGTAGATAAAAAATGTAAATTAGCTTATGTTGTCATGATTGAATCCTTTTATGACTTTACCGAAAATCTTGGCTTCCTTTTTGATATGTTCACAAATATGTTTTATTTGAATTTATAATATAATCACGCATCATGTTTCGACATTAAGTTTATGCTTTTTTTTATTGTTTTCTCACTTATCGTGAAGCTTTAAAAATATTTATTCTGACTCTCACTGTTGAAAGGGAAAACAAACAACAAAAAGTATTTCTATTTATAAAGTAAGCAAATCTCGATTTTCTCACTCCATAATCTAACTAAGAGCGTCAATCACTTTCTTTAGAGCACTTGAACCACTAGATTAATATATTTTCAGTCTCAATAACAAATCATCCGACGAACAAAAAAAAAATCAAAATATGAAGCACCACGACATCAAAAAAATCGGCATTCGTTTCACTGCCAAGAGTTGAAAAAAAAAAACTTTTCGGTTATTAATTCTTATTAATTATTTGAGCATAGGTTTCTTGGCTTTGGGACAGAGCCTTGACAGAAAAAAAGCGAGAAAAAATTCGTTGAAATCACACACTTCATGTCTATCGAGATTTAGGGCGAACACGAAAGACGCTGCTAAGTTGATTCTCGAATGGCAAGATAAATAACTACAAATAAATGTTGTTGAATATAAGTTTGTTATATATTCACATCTATGTGTCTATGCTTGTTATGTTATCTGCGTCTAAAAAGTCAAAACTGATTTATTTTTCAGAAAACTTCCAGCTTCACTTCTTTAGAGTGCTGTCAAAGAATATAATTAACCAAAACCAAATTAAATGAAAACTTGAGATTTACAAACCGCTTAAACAAAATTAGCAACGCAAAGTTGAACAACGAAACGAGTCGTTTAGAAAAGTGAATATCTCCAATCCTAGCACATTAGTCGAGTAAACCCTCAGGTAAAACAAACAAATAGCAGCTAGTTAAGAAAGAAAAAAGCGAAACTGTCAGAGAGCGGTCTTGAAAATTTTTCATTCGTTTTTCACACGAAAATAAATTCTTTGAAGAATTTCTTAACTATCGTTTGAAGCCACACGACGAGACTCTTCAAAACTGATTTTCTTTCATTTAAAATGATAATTTTTTATAAACATTCATAAAAAAAGGGAATTAAAAATGTAATTTAATTCATTGATAGTTTGATTCTTCAAAGGAAAATAGTTTAAAGGTAATCAGTCATCTATCACCGTAAAAGTGCAAATAAAACTTCTGTTTACGATACATAAAATGGTTTGAAACGAGAAGAGAAATGTAAATGAATTCATCCTTAAATAGAAAAAGCTTTTAAGTCTTTTCAAAACCTTTTTCCAATAATAGTTTCTTTATAGCCTTTGAAACACTTTTCCTTGTATTTGATTGAATGAAAAGTATTTTAATTCGCATTTAATTAAATTTTTTGACTCTTAAGTTCTCAACTTTTCAGTAAAGTTTTCGATTGTTTCTGATGATAAATATAGGTTTTAAGTTTGCCGACCTTTGGTAACATGACCAAAGTGTTTTTCATACATATGAAAGTTATTTTAGCTTTAAATGTGATACAATATCTCAACTTTCAATTTTGGAAATCCTTCCATTCGCTTCGATTCTTTTAGTTTTTCACTTCCTTTCTTCTACTTCTTCCGTTTCACATAATTTACATTTTCAATCTCGTTTTTAAAATTTTCTTTCAATCCCAACATGATCTCTAAACTTTGCTCATCTCGAATGACAAAACATTGAGAAAGATGAAATGAAAGTCGATGAAAATGATAATAAAAGAGTAGATAAGAATTATTCATAAAATTTCCCCAGCTTTAAATTCTGCTTAACTTCTCGAGCCATTTGTCGCCGTTAATTTAGTTTTACCTAAGTAGATTGAAAACCCTCACTTATTGATTTAAATAAATACATTTAGAAGCGGTTCATTGAAGACGAAATCTTTATCTTATCGCAAAATTTTCTTACAATTTCCACTCAAAGGAATGTTCACAAATTATGTCACAAAGAAAGATAAAGCAGCGCTCAAAACTTTTACATTATATAAACTTTTTAATATTTTTTTCTTCAAGAGAAACTTTAGAATCCTTTTAACTTAAAAGCATTAATTACTGTGAAATATATGCTTAAGCATTATTAAAAAGATTTTCAGAAAAATAACTTCTTTAAAAATAAGTCCAAGCTTTTCTTTCTTCTCTTCTCTGATGTCTTCTTATATCATGAAATTATTTTTCATAACATTTTTTGTTACTACGTCATGTATGTCTATCTATAGTTTACAAGATATAACTTTATCTTAGACTAGGGTGTTTCTTTCTGGCCAGAATAATACCAAAATGAAGAAAACAAGACTCGTTCAAGAGAAATATGTGTGCAACGATTCATTGTTCATGACTACATAGTGGGTTTTGGTAGCGATTTAATACACTTTATGGTTCTTTTTTTATAAATTCTTCTGTTTTTCTGCTGTTTCATGTATGTTTGGAACAAAAATTTTTTACATCTATTGATTTTTTTACTCATATGAGGAAAATAAAGGGCTCGTTGTGATTGTGACACGAAACATTTCACTTTAATACTTTTTCTCAATTCCTTCCAAGCAATAATTTACAAGGATTTCAAAGTTGGTTATTCATGGAATCTTGTAATATTTTCCCAAGTATTTCCTATTTATTTCCTTTGCGTTTATTAACCAAATGTCTCGTGTGATAAATTTTTGTTTTTTTGGCAGAGGAAAAGAAAAATCGGTTTTATGTATCACACGATAAATAAACTCATTGTAAATAATTCTATTTATTCAACAAAAAAAATTCACGGAAAATATAAGAATCATCTTTAGTACGATGATTTTCATTTCAGCGCTTTTATTTATTCTTTCAACGTGGCTGGGGAGAAGGTCTGAGTCGAAATCTATTTAAACGATGACACTACTTTAAACTATGTATTAGATATTTAAGCTTTTTAGATACTTTGCGTGTGACTGTGTGCTTTTTTTTCTTAAATAAATTTTTATTTTTTCACATTTATGATTTTTTTTGCCATCCGTTTTTTGTTCTCACTCTCACTCTTCACTACTCATTTTTCTTACATTTCAGTGCCAGTTGTAAAGATGAAATATATTTTTAAACATTTACATAGATGATGATGATTATCCTACTATATAATTCCATTAAATATTGAATTTCACTATGTCTAACGTCAGCAGAATTTTAACTTATTTTCTTTTTTGGTCTTCTGCATTATGAAACTATTTTTAAACTAAATAAATTTACATTCAGGAATTTAATCCTTTTATTCTTTTCTCTGCTTCATGAACCGAATTTTTACACAAAAAAAAAACAGTTTTCTTCAATAGCAATTTAACTAAAAAAATGTATGTGAACACGAAGAACACATAGAGCGTTTAATAAGAAGATTGGAAAGATTTTTCTTTTATTCACTATGAATGTTTGCTCACACTTTCAATACCGACAACAAGCAAGGAATGCTGCAAAACGACTAAAAAATATTTCGAGAAAATTTGCGAGATGAGTCGTTCGAGATGAAAATTTTTCTTTTTTTTCGTCTCTCACACAACTCAATTTTCTTCTCTTTTTATCAAGGGGCGTTTGATGATGTTCTGATGTTATGTAGCATAGAAAGAGATTTAAAAGAGTACCAAACAAGGTATAAAAGAGTTTTAGACCACTTTGGTTACACATCATATCATTGTTTGCCCCTTGAATTTAACAAGCTTCCAAAGATGTTTTGAGAAAATATTTTCTCCGGAAATTGCGGGAGAAAGAGTGTCAGACTCGACGTTATGACTTCAAATCAACTGAAATGCTGTACATCAAATACCTAATATGCCTTAAGGAATTCTACTTAACGTCTGCCAGGAAAAATATGATATCATAACTTTATGAGAAAATAAAAATTAGATAATGATTAAAAATGTCGTTGGAAATTTGTTTCATCTTTTGGTACAATTTGGGAGAAGTTTATCGTGCATATTAAAGGAACAGGATATTATCATGAATTTTATTACATTTATAAACGACAAACATTTAGCAACATAAGTTAGTTTCGAAAATTGTAAAAGAAGACTCAAAACTTTGACGTTTGAGTGTAGATAAGTGAAAAGTTTCTATCGAATAATCATGTTTCATATATCTACTTGACTTTTTGACACTTTCATTTATCATCATTTTTTTTGCATGATAAGCTTTTCTCTTCAACTGGAATTTATGTTTATCGGCTTAATAATCCTGCATTCAATCAAATATTTAGTATTAAATCAACGTCATCACATGTTTTTCGTCTCTCTCTCTCTCTTTGTATACATCTGGAGTGTGATGAACTGTATGAACAATGAAATTCAAAATGATTGATGATCGCAATTTACGGTGTTCGAATTTAAATTTCAAGATTTTTAAGGGTTGTGAAGAAATTCCCATCTAAAACGCTCGTTTACGCCTTTCCTAGTATCTTTTAATTTAGGTCAGACACACATGAAAAGAAGAGTTTAAGAATTCATTTTTTAGCAAATTATGTTTAAAAACATTTTTGCTCAAAGTGCTTTAGGTAACGGGATCAAATAATAAAGACAAGCATCATCGAACATTCTGAATTTTTATATATAAAATAAAATTAAAACATTGAACACGCTCAATAATTTGAAACCAAAAAACATTTCTGATGTTGTAAGTTTTGAAACTCTTTTTGTGCATTGACATGGATCTGTTTTCAATCGTTTTTATGTTCAATTGAATTGAACAAAGCATAAAAAATTAAATAACAAAATTCCTCCAATTTACAATACGGTTGATGATTGGAAGTTCAGGATGAGATCATATGTTGAAATTTTTATGAGTTTAATGAATTTTGGAGCGATGAACGTCTGAAAAAATATTCATGAATAGAAATTATCTCGAAAATTTACTCGTTTGAATATATGAGTGTCATTAGCAAAGTTATCTTACAAAATGTCAGCATTCTTAGCCTTGATTCTTTATATCCACTTTAACATTAAGGACAAGAGTCAAATTCTTAAATCTTCATTCTAATCTATTGTTTACAATACCAAAGATTAAAAAGAATTGAAACATGTGATCATTTTGTTGACACATGAAATATTTCCCCTTTATTCCCATCATAATCGTATCGTCCAAAACAATGTCAGCAAAAATAAGAGACGATGATAATAATTTTGAGAATCACAATATTTTCTTACGACCCAACAATTCCAATGAATCCGAAAATAAGAACGGACGAAAGAAATCTTTTGTCTACTCCCACTTGATGACATTTATTATTCTTCTCTATTATGTCGTCCTAGTCATGTCTGTCTATCATGAAAAATCTAGTAATGAGCGTAAAGATTTATAGCAACATCGAGATTGGTTTTGTCATGTGAAATATTCTTAATCATTTGAATACGCTTCTCGTCGTAAGCTCATTTTCTGTGATTCTATAGACGGATAATTCAACTTTCTACGGTAAACGGATAAGAACATAATGGTAGATGATTCTACTTCTTCAATTGAAGAAAGAAAAATCAAAATGGAATATGAAAGTTAAATATTTTTTAAACACTCATCTAAGTAGAAGATAATTTCTAATTTCTATAGAAACAAATATAATTAAACAATTAAGTCTCAAAAAGCAATAACAAGGGATGTTGAAGATTAATTCCAAACTTAAAGTTGTTAAAGGTTGGAATGTCTCTGTTGAAAACATAATTTAAAGCTTTTCAAAAGCATAAGTCTTTGTTTTAGTTTCGTCTGCAATTATTTTTTTGTCCGAAAATAAATTGACAGCTAAGAGAAGTCAGCAACCGAGAGAATTATAAGTTTCCGTAACATTAAATTTATGGTTCAATAATTTTATGGCGAAATATACAAATAAGTTTGTACAACGCTATTACAAGTGAACGTTGTAAAAAAGGGCATAAAATAAGATGAAGCAGCTATGTTATTAAGATGGAAAAGTTTGTTGAAATATTCTGAAGAGTTAGACGAAAACAAGACAAAACAATCTTTGTCCCTGTTTCTTGCATATTCAAAAGCAGCTGAGAAAAAAAGTTTTATCGTGACGATTGACAAAAAAGTTGTCCCAAAGAACGATTACATGATGTTTGATGGGTCAATTGCTTTTAGCATTATTTTATTCGTCTCTTTATCTATGAGTTTACAAGCAATTTCTTCCAATACATTCTTGATTATGAATTTCAATGGTCATGTTTTTGTTTTGGTTAAAATTATTTTAACAAGCCCAAAGAGATTAATTAAAATAATTTCGAAGTGATATCAGAAATTTCCCCTCATATTTAAAGTTTCATAATTAACATGCATGTTTCTCTTTAAAAACATTTATGTGTAAAGCCCAGATAAAGGCTTTTCTCTTTAAGTCACTTTCATAATATGCCAACTCGTTATCTTAGATGAACATTTAAATAAGAACGAACATATTTAAGTAAAGAAAAGGTTTTTCACATTTTCTTTGTGATCGTAAATATAAAAGTTTGTCTGAAATTTGTCGCATGGGATCGCATTTATATCAAATTTAAAGCAAATCTATTCATAACTGTGAAGGAACATATTTAACACTCCATTTGAAGAAGTCGGTACTTTTTCAGACTACTGGAAGCCACAAAAGTTTATGACATCCCAGTTGTACATATATTGAGAACTTTTTGTAAAAGCTTTTCTGCTCTCTTTCTTTTTCTTTGGATGTTCCATAAACTTTCTCACAACTTTTATACAACTTGGCTCGAAAATCGGAAAGACAAGAAGCTTTTGAATTTGAAGTCAAGGTTCATAAAGAGAGGCAACAAATGTTGCCTTGAATCGAGCTTGAGAATGATTTATTAAGAATTTAAAACCAATTCAAAGTTCATTATTAAAAGAATTAAATAAGAAACTAAAATAAGAAACTTTTTCTCAACTCAATTATTCATTTCAAGTTTCACGCAACTTTTCATTCAGCTTACATTCAATGATATTTGTAAGCGATGAGATTCACCTTACGAGCAACAGATGGTTGAGAGAAGTTTGGTAATTTTTTGCCGTTTACTGCCTTCGGTGTGTTCAGTGAAAAAATTTGTTTACGTTGTGAACCCAAAATCTCATTTCAAAGTTAAAAAATTGTATTAAATAGGAAAAAGTGTATTAATAATATTAAATAATGAATCTTCTTTCGTTTACAAAGCTACTCTTATTATTATGTACTTTCAAAGTTATTAATACTGTAGTTACAATTATAGAAATCGAAACACCAAAAGATCTTAAAAAAGCAATAGCAACTAAAACTAATTTATTAATTTTATTCTCAAATAATGGTAAAGATACTGAAATAGTGTCAGTAAAGAATTTATTAAAGTCAGTGGATGGATCTTTTGCATCTGTTGACTGTTCAAAACGAGAGCTTAAAAAAGTATGCAAGAAATCATTGCCAGAAGGAACCACGTATGTCTTAAAACATTACAAAGATGGTACGTTCAATAAAGACTACGACCGGCAAATGACAAAAACCTCTCTTCAAACTTTCATGAGAGATCCAACAGGAGATATACCATTTGAAGAAGATCCATCGAGTGTGGATGTTGTCCATGTTTCAGGCTTACCGGTTGGTGGTAGTCAAATTCTTATTTCTATGTTTATTTTTCTTCTTTTCATGAAAATTATGTTTCATGTTGTCACTCTCAATCTCTCACATTTTCCTCTCTTTTTTTTCCTCTCCCATCTCTTGAACAGCAACTTAAGAAACTTTTGGGCAAGGAAAAAAACTTCCTTATGATGTTCTACACGAATTGGTGTGGATATTGTAAAAAACTTAAGCCTCATTACGCGAGTGCTGCAACTGAGGTAAAAGGTAAACATGTTATTGCTGCAATGGATATGGAGAAACCTGAAAATAATCCCGCTAGAGGGGTTTTTAATATCACTGGCTTCCCAACTTTAATCTACTTCGAGGATGGTCTGCCAAAGTATCCGTTTGAAGGCGAAAACACAAAAGACGGTCTTATTGCTTTTGTTACAAATCCAACTGAACCTGCACCAAAACAGAAGGAAGAAGAATGGGCTGCAGATACAAATTCTGAAATTGTTCATTTAACGACATCGAATTTTGATTTAGTTTTAAAAGAAGAAAAAAGTGCGATTGTTATGTTTTACGCAAACTGGTGTGGTCATTGTAAGAATCTTAAACCGAAATATGAAGAAGCGGCTATTAAAATGAAAAGCAAGAATATTGCAGGAATGCTTGCGGCTCTCGATGCCACTAAGGAAAGAGAAATTGGCAATAAATTTGATGTCAAAGGCTACCCAACTTTAAAGTATTTTGAGAATGGCGAATATAAATTTGATGTGAAATTTAGGGAAACCGATCCAATTGTTAAATTTATGGAAAATCCTGAGGAACCTCCTGCGGTGCCTGAAGAAATTGAAACTTCATGGGAAGACGAAGAAAATGATGTCGTTTTCCTTAACGATGAAACATTTAAGTCATTTCTTAAAAAGAAAAAACATTGCCTCGTTCTTTTCTATGCTCCATGGTGTTTTCATTGCAAAAAAGCTAAGCCTGAATTCATTAAAGCTGCCGAAGAGTACCGAGATGACCCAAAGGTCGAATTTGCAGCTGTTGATTGTACAAAACATTCAGGAATTTGTTCCGCTTATGACGTAAAAGGATATCCAAAAATAAAATACTTCAATTATTTGAAAACACATAAAGACTATGCGGGTGAGAGAAAAGCGGAAGATTTCATCAAATTCATGAAAAATCCGGATCAAGAGATGCTGGTTCAAAAGCCAAAAGAGGAAGTCATTCCGTTTACAAGCGATAAAGTTTTGCTGTTAAACGATAAAACTTTTGAAACTACATTGAAAAAGACTAAGTCATCTCTCGTTATGTTCTTCACCAACTGGTGTGGCCATTGTAAGACATTGAAGCCTATATATAGCAAAGCTGCTGAGTTAGCTTTCGAACAAGGCGTTCCAAGCACTTTTGCAGCAATTGACTGTAGTGCGAGCTACGATACTTGTAAACAAAATAACATCGAGGGATATCCCACGCTCAAATACTTTAAGAATGGGAAATTCTTCAGAGATTACTCAAAACAACGTACGAGTAAAGAAATGATTCAGTTTTTGAAATCCAACTTGGATAACGTGGATAAAGAAGAACTGTAAATGAGATTTTTCTGTACAATCAATTCAGCGACGAGGAAACTATCAAATGAGCTTATTTTCTTCTTCCTTTTTAATTATTTTTCAGTTCATCTCTTAACTTTGAAGTTTCTAAAGTTGACAATTAATTAACTCGAATATTCAATCTCACTACTTTTATTAATGATGTAACGAAATGCTTTTGAAACTCTCAGGATGAACTCGAAACTTATTTCAATCTCTTTCAAATGAAATTAATAAAAGAAATGTGATGAAATTTAAATCTTTTGTACAAATGAAATCATCAATAAATAAAACTTCAATAAATTTTCTTTCGTTTGTAAAATTTCTTCTATTATCAATTTCACTTTCAGCGGGGGATAATTCATGAAGCTAAAAACCTTTACTTCAGTCGTTTTTTAAGCTTTTTCTTGTTTTATCATTTCTTATGATCAGAACTTCTGAAGGTCGACTTAAGAAAAACCAAAAAATCGTTTTGAATGTTGTCATTTTTATTCATGTCCATCAACATTTTCATAAACGTTCGAAATCTTTTATTTTGAAGTGAATGCTTTTATTCGTAAACCACCTTCAATACTTGCTTGCAGATAACCGCAAAGATTCTTTTTTAAGATTCATAATAGTAAGAATGGCATATCCAAACTTTCATCCTAGACATTTCAATTGAACTCTACATAAATATGAAATTTGATGCTTTCTTAAATTGAAATTAGCGCATTTCATTAACTCAACAAAACTAAGAACATTCGAGCAAATAAGTAGACTTTGAAATTGTTCGAACAAATATTGCACGTATGACTCTTCAATATCAATCGAACCATAATATTTGCATAGATGTCTGATATTTATTCATTAAGAATGTTTGAGATGTCGTTTCAGACTTCTTAAAATTACGTGAGATTCTTTTTACATTTTGCATGAGGATGCTGCTAATTTAATCATTCGCATGAATATGCTGACTTTTCATTAAAAAAACTTACAATAAACGTTAAATTTCAAATTATTCTGCATGACAATGCTAACTTTCAAAACATGTTACCTGAGGATGCTATTAATTTAATCATTTGCATGAATATGCTGACTTTTTCATTAAAAAAAACTTGCAATAAACATTAAATTTCCAGTTATACTGCATGAGTATGCAACTCTTCAAAAACGTTTGGGTTCAACCATTTGCATGAGTATGCTGACTTTCAATCATTCGCATGAATATGCTGACTTTCATTAAAAAAACTACCATAAAAAAAATAGTTCAAAGTGTTCCGTATGAGAAATCAACTTTTCTTTTTTTTATATGTTCAACACAATGTCTCTTATTTTCAACGTTTCTTTGACGGAAAAAATCATTCAAAATATCTGCATGTAAATGCCGCTTGCCTGGATTGTTAATCTCCAAATTCTTATATTTCTCAACCACATGTATTTTGAAACTTTTCTTATCATNCTTCAATATCAATCGAACCATAATATTTGCATAGATGTCTGATATTTATTCATTAAGAATGTTTGAGATGTCGTTTCAGACTTCTTAAATTTTACGTGAGATTCTTTTTACATTTTATGGGCTCAATTTTGTTTGAAAATAATTAGCATTCACATAGATAGACGTGGCTAAAACCAATCATCACAAGTTATCACAAGCAGACAACATTATCAACGTCACCAAGAAGTGTAAAAACATTTGATTAAACAAAAGAAACTAACAAACTTCAAGTAAATATTCACATTTATGAATGCAAAACAGAGTTGGAGACTCAGTTAAAGCAATTTGACTTTAATTGCAAAACTGAATTTTCTAAAGAAAGCTTAATTAACAAGTTCCACAGATTCATTTCGAATAGCTTGAATAAAATCAAAATTAGCTCAGAAAAATTGTCTTGATCCAGATATATGATTATAGGATCAATAAAGATTGTCTTAGATCACTTTTGATCAATCCAATCTAATCTAATATTGGCTAAATCAATTTCAAAATACTTAATAACTTGGAGTGACTCAGAACATCTAAAAGCTTTTTTTCTTCTTTATTCTCCTGAAATTGAAATAAACTTAATTTCTAGAGAAAATTTGCCGCAAAACGTAAAACGAAAAAATTGTTTTTCTTCTCTTATTTTCTTATCATTGCTAAAGGAAAAGAAAGCAGAAGAAACCTCAAATAAACACGTTAAGAAAGAAAGTAACGAGATAATATCTACTGAAAAATAAATCTCGTGTTTCGACGCCGGCTAAAATTCTTTTCTCGTTAAATTTTCATTACAACGATGGCTGCTTTTGAAGATTTTCTTGAGATTAGTTAGCGTAAATAAAAAAGTTGCTCGCTTTATGCCGACTTCTCCATTTTTTTTTTCATCCCTTCACTCCCTTCTGTCATTAAAAGAAAGTTCTTTACGAGGTGATATGCTTGAATTCAAGTTTAAATGTGATCCTGAGACAGAAGAAACTTTTAATTAAACTTTGCTGTTTGCCTTCAAACTTCTAACGAAATGATAAATTAACAAACATCATTGTTTCAATTTCACCTTTCTACATCAACAACTTTCATTGGTCTCATCGTATTTCAACACTTTGAAACATAAATTGAATTAACATAAGAAGAAAATAAAGTTTATTAAACGATTGAATTCACCTTGAATGAAATCAAGTTTCATATTATCAAAAATTTATTTATTGACTTTCATTACAACGAGATGAGAAATCAAAATAAAATCAATCAAAAGCACGAAGCACTTGATGAGATCATATAAAGAAGGTGAAGATAATTTTGCAACAATAAAAAATTTGATATAAAACCAAAGGAAAAAAATGTTTTCTTCAAATGATGTCACAAAGGAATTGATTCCCGACCTTAACATCTCTCCAATGGGTGATATTTTGTACAAATCCTATTCGGCAATCACAGACGAAAGAAATTCACCATAAAATCAATACGAACAGAAAGTAATAAAAAAGGGAAGGAAATCAATAAAAAACACTCAAGTTTATCATGAAGAATCGAATCGAAGAAGTAAAGGAAAAAAAATATTAAATATTATTTTTATAGGTCCGTGTTTTATTATTTTGTTATTCGCCTCAGGATCAATTTCGTGCTTTTCGTTTTTATTTTCACATTGTTTGTTTTATCAAACTTTCCAATGACTTCCGCAAAGAATAAAAGCTCGAGTTCCGCGTCTCTCAATTTGATGTTATTCGAGTATTTCGTTATAAAGGTTGAGTTGTTATGCCATCCATATCAATTCAATACAATTTTATGATATTAAAAAGTTCGAATGCGTTTCACGAATTGTTTGGTGATTTGTTAAAGCCACTGAAATACGAAAGCAATTTATTTATGTTTTATGTTTATAACGTTTGGGTTGAGAAACGTTAGATAACTTCGATTAAAAATCTCACATAATTCAAAGGATTGTCAGACATAAATTAAGTGATAATTGTTTAACTTACATCACATTAATCATCCTTCCAATATTTTCAAGAAAATAAAGATGTGATTCACATATTGTCAATAATGTTGTGTGAAAATATGCGTGCCATTAAAACTGACTGTCAATACATGAAAATGTATTTTATATTGAATGACGCGACAAAAAAGATTCACACAAAGCCGTAAACCAAAAGCATGAAATTGTTTTATATTTTTTGTTTTTATTGTGTTCGACTTTCAAGTTGAATCTTTAATTTTCCTTCGCAAACAACAAAACTATGAAAGCACATAATGTTCAGTTATTTATGACGTGTACATCTGGAAAACATTCATTTATTGTGGTGGTCTAAGCCTATTACTAAAATTACAAATGTGCTTGCTGCATTTTCTCGTAAAGTTGATGCTTTAAATTCACATTGAAGAGAGAAGAAGAATCTCAATGTAATTCATAAATGACATTTTGTCTGCTGTTTGTTTCTGCTTTATTTTAAAAGTCGTGGAATGAATCAACAAACTTTTCCCGAGCTCTCTTTAAATACTAGAACAATATGCTTTAGGTCTCGTTCCATACAACACAAAAAAAAGAGAAAACAAATTTTTTAAACTTTAAATGCTGAGACTGGATGACAAAGCAGTTTTTATACAAAAATGTTTTCTTATGTTTGACTTTTTTTTTACCACTTTTTGTTAAGTGTATGAATTTATATTCATATCAAACAAGCCTGCAATGAACTTTAAGACATAAAACTCTCAAGAGATTTGCCTTCAATTAAATACAGTGGATTTTGCATGCTCAGTTCGATATTTTTACAAGTCGCCTCCAATATCGTTCTGTCAAGAGTAAAGTTCACTGTACAAGCAATATTCATGAAGAAGGAAAAGCAATGTTTCACCCACATCAATGTTATTTATTAATAATACCAGATAGATAAATTTCAAACTTATATTTATTGCAAAGCGAAGAAAAAATTCATTTTGCAAATGCTGCATTTATTCAAGACAACAAAAATTTATTTTAAAGGTAAAGAAAATTCATTTTTGTGATTATCTTTGCCACGTTTAATGTTTGTCTTGTTTTAATTATCTGCCATTTGCTTTCATTTCATATTTCAAACTTTTTCATGATTTACTTCAACCAGATATGCTAAAAGTTTAAATTCTTTATGTCAAGTCAAAGAGCATTGCATTAGATCATCTTAAAAGTTCTAAATGAAGCTTCATTACGATTTATGTGATGAATGCAAATGCCATCCACCTAATGAAAATTGAAAAAAAAGTTTAGTGGAATAAAACAGAGAAAGAAAATTGCTCAAGGACTGATAATGCAAGAAAATTATGCGCTCGAAACGTGACTCTAATGATGCATGTAGGGAAATGTAAAATTCATTTCTAACTCACACAGCGCGAATTAAAATGTGGGAAAGATGGAAAATTTCATATTTAAAGCGAGAAAGCTCATAAAAACGAATTCAGAATGAGTGTATGTTATTAAAATTCTCATATTTACAACCCAAGTGGCTTTGTCTGGTTATTCTTTCATGTTGAGTCGATTTAAAATCACGAGGGAAATTTATGCACCTAGTCAAGCATGTAGCAAAAAAAATCGCTTTATTTGAATGCTTTTTATTTCATTTCACTTTCACAAACAGAAAAATAAAAACTCGTCTCAAGATTTTCATCTGACAAAGTGATTTCAATATTTGGAGATGAAATTTTTTTATGTCATTTCTTCTGCCAATTTAAGACAACAAGAGAAAAGCTAAAGGATTAAATTCATGATGTTAGTTCAGTGTTGTGCCGATTAAATATTGTGTAATTTGTAGTAAATATCCAATATTATGCACATAACGAAGATTTTTCTTAATATTTGAGAAGCAAAAGCATTTTATTTGTGAGCTTGAGCGAAATGAGAAACGACAAGAAATGTAAATATTGAAACTTCCAACTCAGAAGATGCGTTAAGCAAAAGGAAAAAAAAATATTGTAATTCACGAAACACGTTGTGAGATGTAAAGGCAATAAAGCTCGTCAATATTTGTATAAGTAAAGAAATTTTTCCTGTTCTTTCCGTTTTCGTTCATTCTAACACCGGAGGAAGTGAATGAATATAAAACGGCTCTAAGCTTCATGAGTAGCTTAAAGACCTTGCTTCCAGCAGACGAAAATAGAATGAGAAAGGAAAATCTAAATAGGATATAGAAAAGCCTCATAAAAATTCGAGCGAAGAAACATTGACTTGGTGAAGCTTTTCTTCGACTTCTCCCCACGACTTCTTTTTTATCTTTTTGCTTTCGCATACATTTGAACGAAATTTTTATGTGATTCTTTTAAGCAAATTTTATCATTTATCTCTTATCAGACCATTTTCATGGCAAACACAACAGTTCACTTTGCTGGAAAATTTGTCGCTTTTCATTTCCACAGTTTTCTTTTTTCCGATTCTTTTCTTTTTCGTTCGATTTAAATTTACATTTTGATTACACAAACACAATAAATAAACAAATTATTTTGTAATCAACAGACTCTTGAGCTGATATCTCTCTCAATTTATGTATTTTGAAGTGGAGTCTTTACGACCTTTCGATATGGTGAGAAAAGCAGGAAAAATTTATTGCCATCAAATTCTCGACAATGAAAATTCAGTGTAAGTCCAAAGATCCTTCACGTCGCCCCGGGTGTTTGTGATATTTTTCTTCTTTCACTATTGAATTTCAATTGTTAAGAGGATTTTTAGGATTATGTCTGTGAAATGAAGTTAATGAATCGCTTTTCTGAAGTCATACAAACTGACAGTTGAATAAACTTTAAGAAACTATCACGAGAAAGTTTCCATGCAAATGATTCGTTGATCTTTCACGTTCATGATTACCTGATTTACCTTCTACGACAGATTGTTGTCTGTTGCGAAAGCATATTTGTATGAGTCAGCAATGATTTATGAAGGAAGAAGTTTCCCGCATCTAGAAGAATTATTTTCCATGGAAATATTCTTTTCACGGCTTCCGCTACAGTTGGAAAAGTTTGAAACGCGAAGCCTAAGAATATTCATTTGAGGGGAACATCAACATAAATTGTCAAGCTTCAAATAATATTTCATTGAAGATCTTAATCATTGAAATCATCATTCAAGCACACCCCTATGAGACTTCATTCAAAACCTAAAACTTTCTCATCGATTGTTCATTTAGTAAACAAATAATGAAATAAGATGCCGATTAAAAGCTTTAGCCATCATAATTAATGCGAAAAACTTTCACCCCTCGAGCAAAGTAAAAACCGCAAATTACGAGCAATGTTTTTATGGAAACTCATGTTCAACGAACTGCTACAAGCGTTGGGTTTTGTGAAACTCTTTCATTGCTTTATTTTTCTTCTTTAATCATCTGTGATGATTTAGATCGTAAGTTATTAAAGACATAAGAAAAGACTATGTGAAAGTGGAGAAAATTACTTGCCGAGGAATTAGATCTGAAACATTATTTACCCTTGGGTAAATGTTAATAGCGAGATTTATTTCAATTAACTAGTTTTCAAAGAATTCATATTAAAACAATTAAGTTGCATTTCCTATTTCACAAATTGCTTTTTCTTTAATTATGAGATTCAATTAAGCTTCCACTTATAGTGTTGGGAAGAAAAGCAACGATCAGTAGCATTAATGAATTAACATGCATGGCGTTCTATATGAAGGTTTAAGCTCTGTCGTACCATCATGTTTAATATTTTCAAGTTGAAATTTAGTTTTCATAACTCTTAATACGTTCACTTTTCGCTCTGTTAACATAAATGCAAAATTGCAGGACACAAATTTTCTTTCTATCTGAAATATGATGTGAATAATCACAGCTTAATGTTCTCCATCTCTGTCACGTATAACGAAGCGAGAAACGAGAAAATTTTCTTCTTCTTCTTCTCATTTTTTATTTTATCTTTTAATGATTTTGACATATTTCCATCAGCAACTTAGTAAGATAAAGCAACTCATGCAGTAGATATTTTCATTAATTAAGATATGAACAGCATGTTTGAGTTGAGTGTCACTGATGAACTTTTAGTAGAACGAACATACATTGAAGGCCATCTTTGACTTTAAAATGATTTCATTAAAATTCATCTCACTTGATAATAAGAAACTAATTTAAAATATATTCAAAGTAAATTATATCAAAGTTTACGTTTGTGTCAGAAAACTGGAAACAGATCCCAAACTTTTACATGCACTGACGTTCACTTGGAGATAATCTTCAGTATGAATCGAACTGTGAAAGTGATTCGTGTTCGTTCTAAAATTATATTAATTTAGTGATTACACTTGTTACGCATTTCAAACAAATGAATTAATACAGAAAAACAAGTTCAACATAGATCTGATAAAACATGGTTTTATCAGCGCTTTGTTCCACTAGCCGTGTTCCATTTTCTGTTCCGACAACAGGTCCTTCTGTTTCGGAACAGATTTGTGTTCCTTTTTATGTTCCGTTTTTCTCTGCTCTGGAACAGATATGTATTCCCGTTCTGTTCCGTTTCTGTATCCCGAAACATAAAAGGTCGCAGAGGAAAGCCCTGACGGATATGTACAAATATGAAATTTCCTATTTTTAGATATAAAACGAATCAGAATCATTTGATATTTGAAACTAGACAACAATTTGAATTGAGGGAAAATTCTATCATGCATTGCTTAGATATAATGTGGTGGAAATTTATGCTTTCTATTTATTCAATTGAAAGGCTTTTCATGTTAATCTTTATCATCTAATACAAGTTTCACGTTTACACGAATTGTCATGTTTATTATCGACAAAAATAAGTTGATTCTATGAAATGTCGGGTTCAATAAGTTGAACAATAACTTTGTCGATATATTCAATTACATGGCTTCGGCCATGTCTGAAACCACATTCATATAAATTTCTCAAACCCTTATCAACTTTTCAGATGGGATCGCCATGGTACTTTGTGCTACTTCTTTCATCGTTATTCTTATTTCAATTCTCTTTTGTTAGGAATTGTACCAACAAGGTGTGGAAAAGTAAGCGAAACCTTCTCTTTGTCATTCATGAATCAAATATAAATTCAATTTGCTTTTCTGATTTCTTTTCTTACTGTAATCCATTTAAAAGTTTCAAAAAGTTTGAAGTTTTGATGAAATGTTGAAAGTAAACTAAAAGAAAATTTTCGACACATTGAATTTTACTTAATTCTTTTATATTGAATCAATTAGTGGAGTGAAATATGTTTGTGACTTTAAAAGGAACAATTTATTTTGATTTGATACCTTCGCTAAATCATGTTTCTTTAATGAAATACCTTCACATGTTTATTTTTGATGACAGCAATCTATCAACTTGTTGCTACTCGTATCTTCATGAATAATTTGAAGTGATTTGCTTGTAAATAAATTTAGGAAAGAAGGTTTTGGTTTTATCTGTGAAAGTGGAAGAGATAAATGTGATTGGACAGGTAAAAAGATGAATTTCAAAAGCCTTGCAGACCTTCGTCAAATCGTGAAATTTTTATATTGCTACTAGTGATTATGGGATGAATTTATTTAACATAAATTTTTCTACGAGTTTATCCGTCTCAGATATTTAATGATTACATAAGTCAGTAAAAAATCAGTAAAGAAATTATTTATGTTTATTCTGCGGGCATGTGAAATTAGCCTTCATTGTTTTCTCTCAACGAACACTGCCGATCATCTGTGAAGGAAAATCATTTATCTTTTTCTACTCCCCCAGTGTGTCAGTACATTTGATCTGAATTAATTATCGAATCATTATTTAACTAAAAAAAGATTTGTAAAATATTTGAATAAAACAGCAGCGAGTGAAGATTGAATATTTGATTTAAAAAATGGTCAGAGTGAACTCGTTTCTGCTTTGCTTTTCTCTTGAAAAGTATGCAAAATTTATTGGATCGCTTACGATAACAATGATGGGATTCTTATCAATTTTCAGTCTTGTTTTGTTTCTTCGAGGTATAAGCAAGTCATGTAAGATTTCAATCTAATATTGAATAATTTTCAATTTCTCTAATGAAATTTTATTTGTTTAGATTGTATCGTTGCAATAATTTCGGCGGTAGTTTTGTTTCTGTCTTTAATTGTAATTTACATTAGTAGAGAACTTCTAACAGGTGTTGAAACTGTAAGTAGAAATTCAAGAAAGTTTATTTGTAATCTCACTTTTTGGACCTTCAGCATGATCCAGATAAAGTAGCGAAATTCTGCATTCTATTTATGATCAGCATTGGCATTGAAGTTGTTCATCTCTTACGAATGATTATTCACATTGGAAAAACCAAAAAATTGAGTGAAATTTTCACGAATGTTTATTTTGGCTTGAGTTTTCTTTTGTTGATTTTTTCGACTTATTCTTACATTTGTATTGACTCACTGTGGAAAAAATTCAAAGATGAAAATAAAAAGAATCCTACACGTGTTTGAGAGAAAATTTTATGATTTTTGAGCAAATTTTTTTAATTAGGAAATTTAATGAATGTTATTTATTAAGTAATTAAAATTTCTTTGTTTTTCCATTCAATGTGGGATGAAAATGAAATATCCACGAAAATATAAAATTATTTATTCTTCTAAGAATTCATTAAACAGCAAAAATTTATCCATGGGGAAGTTGAAATGTTGTTGAGAGGCATAAAAATTACAGAGAAAAAAGAGAAAATGCCGAAATGACTCTAAAAATCTCATAGATGATCTAACTTTATCTCAGATTGTCTAGTTTTTCATAAAATATCTAGGAAATATTTATGTTTTGATGTCTATTTTTAATACTCATTGGTATTCATCGATCTACTTAAATATTACCATTATCAATCATTTTATGCAAATGAATGTTTAAAAGAGAAAATAATCCTGCGCATTCATCGAATTTAGTTTTGCTTGTAGATTTTCTACAGGAAAAGACGAAGAAAAGAGTCGAAAGAGAGAAATCCGTGCATGTATGTGAATATTTCTATTGATAACTTGTAAACTTCTTGGATAATGTTACGAGAGAAGAGCAGAATAAAAGTTTATTTTATGTTGCATTGCCGAAAGACTAGAAGTTAATTTTCAAAAAGTTAAAGTTTTGAATTTCAAGTTCTTTAAAACTTTCATTATCTACATTCTCGTAAATTTGTTGAAAACATTTTGTGTACATTGAGTTATCGAATATATTTACAAAGTTCTCAAAATGGAGACCGCCTTCGGATGTTTTAGTTTGGAAGGATTTGGAAATTTTTATGCTTGGTGTTGTTTGATTACTGCAATCATCTACATTGCAACTTCTCTCATCGTCTCAGTAATATTCATCATTGATTACAGTAAGTCTCATTTTAAATTAAGAAAATTTTAATTACGCAGTATTTTTTTTCATATTTTTATGATTTCCAGACGAAGCCGTGCTCGCAGTTGCTTTGATTGTTTTGGTATTTTCAATCATTTATTTGTATTTTGCTTACGAACTATTTTCTGGAGTTCGCAACGTAAGATTTCAACGTTGTCATCATTTTTTACTGTCACTTATGAATTATCTTTTATTTTGCAGCGAAATTCTACGAGAGTCAAGAAGTTTCTCATTTGGTGTGTCATTGACATTCTGATTGTAATAGCTGTGATTGTTGCTGTAGCTTACTTCGGGTATTTCTCACAGCTTCCATCAACAGCTGCTTCATTGATTCTTGCAATTTATATTTACTTCTGTATTGATGCTTTGCAAAAGAAATTTGCTGCTGAAGAATCCTCCGGCGTTATTATGAACTACAATCATGAAGGAAATGATATTTTGAAACAGAAAAATAATTTCTTACCGGTTTAAGTCACCTGTTGATTGATTCCTATCGCCTTCAAACGAGTGCATTACCAACTTAATGATTAGTATAAATTAAAATCTCAAATTTCTCTTAATTAATGTTGTTCAGTTGATCAAAATATTGAAAATAAATATTTACAAAATAGAAAAATCAAACAACATCATCGTTTACTTATTTGAAGCTTGAAATAAAATCCGAAAACGAACTTTGCATGTAAATATTTTCGAGTTGGTTAAAATAAGAAATCGTAAATAATTCAAGAATAGCCAACAGAGTTGAGACTCAATTTCATTTCGATGATGTCACAATTAATTTCATTTTAATTGAGCAAAGGAAATGTCTTCATCGCTTCAATAATGTTTTATGTTTTTATGCTTCAATGATTAATGATTTTTATGAGAAATATTTTAAAGAATGTCTCAGGTTATTAATCAAAGTTGTGTCTCAATGCGTGAACATTTTTCTTCTTCTCAGATTATCTTAAAGAATTAGGAAAGAAATTGCATCACTTCATTATGAGAATTATTTATGGAAAGAAGATAAACAACATAAAAATATCTTCCCGATTATCTTTTGACTCATCAAACAGTAAACAATCTCAAGATGTGACAAAACTTATTTTTCATCTTCTCTCAGCTTCATGAAAATTCTCATCATGCAATCACGAAAACTTTTCATGTTTTTTAGTTAGCTCGGAAAATTTAAAAGCATACATTCAACTCGAATCGGAAGCATCTTCTAAAAATAAAAAGCAAAATACGCAATTTGCGGAAATTTCTTTTCGAAAATTAAAGTTTCTTAGTTGTGAGTTTAGTTTTCATATTTTCAAGTGAAAATTTTGTGAATTTCTTGAAAATCTTTCGTGATTAATTCAATAGAAAATTTATTTTCCCTTCATTAGAGTTTTCCCGAAAATGCCGAAAGTTCGTCAGCCAGAGAAACTTGAAAATTTAGCCTTGAAAAATTCAGCTGAATGGTTGTGCGTGACTGGTGAAAAAATGATGCCAATGATGTCGGAAGCAACCAAACTCGATCACAAACTAGCAATCGAGAAGTTAAACACAATCATTGAAATTTCTCATGATTTATTCGAAAGATTTGTTCCGTTTTATCTTTACAAGCCGCTGACTGATGAGGTCATCAAAGGAATTTCAAAACTTGTTGACAAGTGTAAAGAAGCAATCGAATTTAAAGCAAACATAGCAAAATTCTTAGCTCAAATCAATGTTGCTTTAAGTTTAGCACAAGCATTAATTTCTATCAAACTTCGAGTGATTGATTTTGATCAAATGCCAAAAATGCTTCGTTCAGCTTTTTATATTCAACTCACAAAAATGTCAGGTCTGGAATGGTTGTCGTTGGGAAGTGTTTCAGGTGGTTGGAAGACATTCGACATGGAACAAATGCTGGTTGATGGCTTGTCAAATATGAGCCACTTGCTGCATCTTTGTTTAAATTACGATTGCACAGACAAAGTTCTTGAAACGCTTGTTAAGTCTTGTCCAAGGCTTATGAGTCTCGACATTACAAACTCTAAAAACATCAACAATTCAAGTGTTGACATTCTCGTTGACCTGAAAAACCTTCGGGCTGTTCAACTTTACAGAACCAGCGTGACAATGGAAGGCTACATAAATATTCTTCTTCATTTACCTGAACTTCGTGATGTTGGTCGTTACGATGAGATTGGACGATGTCTCGAGTACATCAACGATTATTATCCAACTTACGGCAACTTCAAATTGGAAACTTTTGTCTCGAATCATGCAACAACAAAACAAATTCAAATTTTATGTGAAAAATGTTTGAACATCAAATCAATTTCGCTTTTTCATAATGTTTTGTTCCTCGACTTGATGACAATTATTGGACTGAATGAATTGAATAAACTGAAGCTTTTATCTTGTGATTTTTTCGCTGATCAAATACGTGACGTTTTGGAAGTTAAAGGATGTAACATTACAACACTTAATCTCGAGCATGTTGATGAAATTGACATGAACGCATTGATTTACATACATTTCACAGTTCTGTCCCGACCTCAAAACGCTTGTGCTGTGTAATTGTAATCTCATTCAAAGCACATCAATTCAACGTCATAAGTTGCCGCCATTTATGTGTCTCGAGAATTTGACACTCATCGGAGAATGTTTGTATCAGCATCTTCAATTCATCCTTTGCAATGCTCATCGACTGAAATTTATTCATTTCGGCACTCAAATCATAACAAACGATGAACTTTTTGAGAAAATATTTTTACACAACGAGCTGGGCCAACTTGAGGAACTGAGAATTTTACATTCAGATCACTTGACCATAAAGACTGCCTACGCAATTGTCAATAATTGTGGGAATCTTCAAAAACTTTTCGAGATTGAAAGTTGGTCGGGAGTTGCGCCATGGGAATTTGAAGCTCTCAAATGTTATGTGAAAGAGAAAAATTACGACGTTGACTTAACATCTTATCGCAAATTCGTCACAACTTAAGCAAATGTTTTCATTTTATTATACTTTATTGAAAATATTTAACTCTTGTACAAACTTAATTATCCGGCATTAACCAAGAAATTAATTTTTTTTAATGAATGAATAAAAATTAAAGAAGGAAAAGTTTTATGGAAAAAAAGTAACAAAGTCTTATCGAAAAGAATTACAGGAAATAAAAACAAAAAAGAATGAATTAAATTTTTGATTGTGGAAAGAAATTAATTGGAAATTTCTTCATTTCATCAAAAATTAAAAATTTTCTAAGCCTAAAACTTTCAAGATGATGATCGATGCTTAAAAGCTAGTTTTATGTTTATAAAGACAATTATTCAGATGACATTCAACATGTTGTTGCAGTTTATCGTCTGTAATTAACATTTTAATTGATTTCTATCATTTTTTAATTAAATTTCAATGTTTACCTTGCTTTCTTTCTCTTACTGTGGTTGTCACGAGAATCATCACGAGAACGTTTCTTACTTTCGTTGTGGCTACTTTTGTGACTGCTTTTCTTCGGACTGTGATGACTGAAAGGCAAAAACAAGAAAGATTTGATTAAAATCGTGAATATAACAACAATTATTAATAAGAAAAAAAAGAGAAGGAAAGAAAGAAAGAAAGCATCGACGAACAGTTGATTGGAAGCTGAAAGTTTTCAAACAACCGCAATAAATAAAATCAAAGAACAAACCTCGATTTACTGGACTTTTTCTTGTCATTGACATGTCTAAAAATGATTAATTGGAGAAGAGTTTTTTAAGAACAAAAGAAGTAAATTGTGATTGAGAAAGCGATGAGAAATAAAATAATTTTGAATGAATCTTCAAAAATTTACAATGAAGATGAAAAAATGATTTTAAATGTCAACTTTTAGTTATTTTTATTAACTTACTTGCTACTCTTGTGATGGTTGCTTTTATGCTTCGAGCGATGTTTATCAAATCCTGGTCGTTCACGTTCGCGATCTTCTTCAGCTGCTTCACGTTCCAAATCCGACCAATCTTTACCAGACTCTTCTTCACTTCCCATCTCTTCTGACGAATCATCATCTTCATCTTCTGACGCTTCTGAATATTCACTCATTTCTGAATCTTCTTCTTCTGTGAATTAAACAAAAATTTACATTTTAAGTTAAGAACATTTAAGAATTTTCTTACCTTCCGTTTCGGCATCGGTGGGCTCATAAGCATCATCATCTTCATCATCAGAATCATCATCTCGTGCTCCTTCCCCATCAGATTCAGGATCTAAGAAAGTCCAACCACCATTTTCAATGAATCCAACAGGATCATCTGTGATTGTTTTCATAATTTTTGTCCAATTGAGTGATTGAATGCCTTCCGAGTAATGAATGTCGCAAGAGCTGTAATTAAACAAAATAAAATTAGAATCAATAAATAATTTATGAGTTGAAAACTCACTTCAACCATTCCTTAACATGATCCAACATATTCATTGGAATTGCATTAATCATCGCCATTTTTCTGTTGTAATCTTTGAAGACGAAAATCATGTCGAAGTTTCTCAAATGAAATTGAACACGCTCAAAATGAACCAACTCAACATCTTCAAGTGAAATGACGAGTGGTGGCCATTCGGTGAGATTTACTAAACTTCCTGATGTTGGTTGAAGTAAAACAGTGCTGCGATAAGGAGCCCCAGGAAAGCCAAGCTCACGGAATGGAACATCAAACTCAACTTGTTGCTTCGTCATTGATTCAACTTTCTCACAAAAACTCTTGAAAGCTGTCTTCAACTTATCACGCAACTCACGTTCTGACTGTTCAGCTGCTAAATCGTCGCGATCGTGCATATGTTGATGCTTTCCCAAATCCGTCGTAATCTCGCCAACTTCCGTGTAAAATTGAACATCGACGTGCTTTTTCTTCCCAAACATTATCGCATGCTTCAGATGGAAGTGCAAGAGAATTATCATTTCACCATCACATGGTTGAAAGAATGCACTTTTGATGTTATTGTATAAAATATCAACTTTATCACCACGAACCGATGTGTATCTGAAGCCATTTGTGTGTGCTTCCAATGAGCCATTCATTCTCTTTGTCACGATATTTGGACGAATGTAAAGATCTTTCAACTTTGGATTTCCTTTGTTTTGTGACAACACCAACGTGTCTTGCTTCACTAAATCTTCTTTCTCTCGCTCTTCAGCTTCGCGTGTCTTAAATCTCTTTTGAACTTCTTTGATCAAACGAAAGGCGGTGTTAAGATTTGATGATGGCGCTGAGATTTCACCAGGTTCCTTTGTGTTGAGACTTCTGTATGTAACTTCTTTTACAAATGTCGCATCAGGATGTGAATAATTTCCACCTTCATTACGTCCCATTGTCGCACCAGGATGAAAGAAATTTATACGTAAATACGTGTAATCGCCTTCAATTGATTGTGAAATGTTTTTAATTGTTGAAATATGATATGGAACGGGAAGTCCGAAGATTGGCATGATGACAGTCTCATATTTACGATCCACGTACAGTTTCAGATCTTTAACTTCCGGTTCGCGTGGCATTTGATTGACGCTCTTGTACGAAACTGTCGATTTGCGAACTTTCTCAGCTTCCTTTCCGCCAGATTGTCGTGCCAAACGTTCTTTGGCTTTCTCATTCAATGCTACAGCCAACTCCTTCTGATGTTGTTTACGTTTCTCTTCTGAGCTATGTTCGGAACGAAGTTTATTCTCTAATACTGTTGTACGCTTTCCACGGGACTCAAGAATCTCATTTGGAGCTTTCTTTGACTTTTGTGATGTTTCTGTTTCTTCTTCTTCCTCACTGTCATCATCTTTAAGGAAAATTCCAATGTTCTTGACTTTCTTTTTCGATTGTGTCAGAATACTTGCTGGCGTGTCGCTGTCATTAACAAGAATTGTGTCACCAACAAAAAGTGCGATTGTTCGACCTTCTTTATCATCTTTGCTGACATTTTTATTCTCTAAACCTGCAAGTCCAATGTTTAAATTGAAAATCATTCCTTTCTTTAATGTCGCTGTGCATTTTGGTCCAATAATGAGTGAATTGTCACGAAATTCTAAGCCCATAGCAAAGCCAAATGTTTTCGTAAGTTTCTCTACAAGCGACGGTTGTTCTTTCTTAGCATATGTTAAGCCTTTCTCATAAACATCTGACAACTTCTTTCCTGGTGTCATCTCTTTGAGCAATTCATCTTCCATATTAACCAGAAAATTATAAATTTCTTGAATCTTCTCACTTGGATTCACGAGCAATGTTCGTACGATATTCGAGCAATAAGATTTATAACGAACACCAAGCGAGCAAACAATGGCGCCAAAGTGCAAATGATTTTTGTCACTCACAGCACTGAATTTTAAACTGTAATTTCCACCTGATTGGATAATTGCTGGATAGCACATATCAAGTTGGGATTGATCAACTCCTGAGACGTATTTCTTGTCTGTCAATGCTTGTTCAACACCTTCAGAGAGTTTTGAATGTTTTACTTTCTTGTCTGCATCAATAATCTCCATTATGTGATCTTTCAGATATTTATTGAAGACATCAACAGTCACAAGACAAGCTTTCTTAACTGTTAATATTTCGGAATCTTCTTTTATGCACATTATCCAACCAAGTGCCGAACTGACATCAATTTGCTCGAAATCTTTTCCTTTTAGTGCAGCTCGCCATGATTCACAAAATTCACCGGGAAAATTATCTTTGGCAAATACACCAATGGCTTTGCCTATTTTAGATGACTTCATCACATCGATAAGTGTCTCGAAATTTCCTTTATCTTTGTCATTTTTATCTTTCACAAGAAGCTTGACTTGAGGCAAATTACTTTCATCTTTAATGTCTTCAATTTGTTTGAGAAATTCGATTTTTTTCTTACTGGCCAGGAAATATATGGAAGTTTCAGTGAAGATTGTTATTGTGTCTGTGAGCTCATAGCCCAATAGCCAATTCTAAAAACGACCAGTTAATTGAGGTTATGCAAAGGATAATTCGCAATAGGACATTTGAATACGATTTTCTTACCTGTAGAGCTGTTGATTTACTATACATGACTTCTTCATCAGTTCCAACAGCGGACATGATACAATCTGACTTTTGAAGCGTGTCATCATGATTATATTCTGGAGTCTGTTACAACCGGGATGAACACAAACAAAAAAAATTATTTTTTTAACTTTTAATTTCAATTTCATAATTATGAGAAATTCAATTGTCTAGAGCATTGCACAACAAATTCTTACAGACTTGCTTACGAAAGCAAGTAAAATTTCGATCTAGTTTGTTCTAAATGTCTAAAAATATTACCTTCCAATTTTGATACAACTTCTTCACTCTAGAAACAAAGTTTGCCTTGTCAAGTACCACATTCGACATTGTTTTTATAAAGACAAACGCCTTATGTATCTAATTATTTGTTTAAATCTGTTTTTGAAGATGTTTTGTTACTTGTATTTGGAAAAGTTTAAAATTGTTTTAATTTTCCGCAAGACGCGACTTTAAGTTCCCCCGAATAAACTGCACGTAATAGATTGGAGAATTTTTAATTTGAATTTGAGCGGAAAAAATAAAACCGTTACAAAGTATTGAAAATGTTTTCTTTATGAAATTTACAAGATAAACAGCTGTAGATAAAAAAAAGCAAAACAAAAAGATTTTATGAATTATCTTTTTATGGTTTTTATTAAATGGAAATTTTTAACCATTCCAGAACAAACTTGGTTCTTATGTGCTCCGATTTCATTCTTCTTTTTATTATTTTATTTAATTGGATCCGGTCTTTGTTGCCAATCTCTTGTCACGTTCCTCGGCAACGCTCAATTTGATACCTTTTCCTTTAGGTAAGGAGATGTAAGCTTTAGCACCCTTTCCGATGATGAAAACATTGGTTAAACGGGTGGCAAACATATGTCCATTAGCATCTTTCACGTGAACAATTTCAAACGATCCAGGATGTTTCTCACGATTCACAACTGTTCCAACACGACCCAAATTTCTACCTCCAGTAATCATGACGAGATTTCCTGTATACAAAAAACAAAAGATTATCAAGGACTTGATCAAGGAAATGTAATTAAATTAATTTTCTTCTTTTACCAGATTCAAAACGAATGTGATCGGTGATTTTTCCACTTGCAATGTCGATTTGAACGGAATCATTAGGATGAATCAAGGGATCTGGATAGCGAATGGTACGTCCATCATGTGTTACTAAGAATGGAATCTTCTTAGGTCCAATATTAACGCGCTTCACTTTGCATAATTTATACTGAAAGAAGAGATCAAAGATAAGTTAAATAACATTCGAATTATATTATTTTTTGTTAGAATGTCTCGACCGATAAAGTTACTGAATTGGTTATAGTTCGACAAGTCGGAAACCAAACAGAGACCGTCAGATAGATGTTTAATGTTGGCTCTATATTGACTCGATTCATCTTGGTTTATTTTAGCGATGATCAAGCTTCGATAAAGCCTAAAAGAATTTATTAAAATTTACTCACTTTAGCTTCATCAGCAGTAATACGATGAACAGTGAAACGACCTTTAACATCGTAAATCAAGCGGAAATATTCTCCGGTCTTGTCGATGGTGACAACATCTACAATGAGAATTTCAATAAGTTATCTAAATATAATTGAAAAAAGAAGTTACAAAATTGTATTTCTAAATTAAAGCTGACTTATTCGTGTTTGAAACAAGCCAAGGCAAAATTGAAAACGTTTTTCTACGAAGTCTCTAAATAATGTTATGAAGGATGAATTAATCCCTCAAAAACATGAACAAAACCTTCGCTATCTCTCAAGCAATGTTGAATAACTTACCCATGAATCCAGCTGGGTAGTTGATGTCTGTGCGAACCTTTCCATCAACTTTAATGTGACGCTGCATGACGATTTTTGTTACTTCAGTGTTGGTCAAAGCATACTTCAAGCGATTACGCAAAAAAATCACCAAAGGTAATGATTCGCGCAGCTTATGTGGACCAGTTGATGGACGTGGAGCGAAAGTTCCTCCTAACTTGTCCAACATCCATGCTTTTGGAGCTGCTAAACGCTTCAAATGTTTTTTAGGGCCTCGAGCCTAAAATAAAATTAAGTTTTTGTTAGTCGTTTGGAATTTGATTATAACTATAAGATGCTCTTACCATTTTCCCAAATTTTTATTCTGGAAAGATACAAAAAAAGTGAGGAAAACGCATTAATTAAAATTATTTGAATATATAAATAACCTCAAAGTCCGGATAAATTTTCATTATGATAAAACTTTAATTCTAATTCGTTATACTTTCATGAGTTGTTCATTCCATAATCATGTATTATTTTCATTGAAGCTTTTAAACTAAAAATGTCAATAATATGCTTTAAAAATTTTCCAAGAAATTCATTTGACAACACATTTTTGTAAAAAAAATACACGAAAAGATTTTCACTTAAAATTTATCATTCAAACATTAATATGCGTTCGAAATGGAGTATTAAACAATTTACTGACGACATTATTTAACGAATTAACAAATAAATATCCGACTTATGA